TCTCCAACCCGTTTTTGCTCTACCTCAATAGCCAAGTTGTTCAGCAGTGTTTTACTCTTACACCTGCAAAAGTTTTTGACAGGCCCAAACAGTTGCTACATCAGTCTTTACCATTGCCATTGGTGAATTGAACGTAACTCAAGTCTTCAAAGCACTAGTCTACTTTTGACTCTTGCTGACATAAATGGACTTCGGCCATAGTTAAATCGACATCTTAGGCGAGTTCTTAAGTGTGATAAAGGCCGATTTTTTCAATCTGGCAGTAAGTGGTATGTCAGAAAACAACTTTTCTGTAGTCAGAAGCAGAAAGGGTTAGAAACAGTCTCAAGAAATCATGTTAGACTGGCAAAATGTGTTTAAATAACATTCTAGACATGGAAACCTGTGACATAAAAAAGCTGAAAGTTCTGTGAAAATTAGAGTGGTTATGTAAACAATTGACAGGTTCCTTTTTGTGTTGAACGTGAACCAAAGAAAAACTTTGCAGTAAGTCATGTACGATCAATCATGACAGGAAAAATGGAAGAAAATATAAATAATTGCACCGCAAGCCTGTCACCGGAAAAACGTGAAAAGGAAGGGTTACGATATTTTAAGGGGCAAAAATCGGTTTGATATTGGCCAGTCCAGATATGGTAAGCAAGGTGTTGATTGACCACTCCTTACAGTGTTATCATTTACATGTTTAAACCAACTTTTGATTTTCCAAAAATTAACTCAAACTGGCAGGTTACCTAGGAAAGTCTGAAGTATTTGGAAAATAAGAAAAATTTTCTCTAAGAGAAAGCCTTGTCCTGTAAATAATGATAAAAAAAGAAGATGTAAAGTCGAAGTTTGCCGGAGAACACCATAACTGTTATACCAAAGGAATTTGAAATTGGCCAGAGGAACATATCCTTGGATGAATTTTCTGAAAAAGTGTCGTTGATAACTCTGGCGCACAAATGAAAAACTTAATATCGATGCCCACTTGAGAGACCTAACCATAGTTATAACGATAATAATGAACCATTACTGGCTGAAGTTTTTGTGATATTTAGTGTAAGATCGAGGTAGGGGTTATCAGCCGACCCGGATCACAAAAACCAAATCTAATAATTGTTTCATTATACATTGTAAGAAAAGCAACACAAAGCGCGCGAACTTTACTTAATTACCCTTAGAAATCATGCACCGCGGTCATACATGACAGGATTACCCATGACCTTGAGTGTCCTTTTCACGATTATTGTATAACCCGCAGCTCGGTGACGTCCCAGGCACTAATATCGAAAATTTACAGTACGTTTTTGGCCAGTCAGAAAATTATCATCCTTATAAAAACAACTGAACCATCATAATGTTATCATTTGTCATACAAACTACGGTATTGTACAAGGATTCCTAGCCCTGAGGAAAGCCGTAAAGTCACGAACTCCTGAATTATCAAAATTACGAAGCTTTGTTGATAAAAGTAGTCACTGTGATTTCCTTGCGTTGTTAGAAAGAACATTCTTGAATGAAATGCCGAATCAATTCGACGGCACATGTTGCCTAAGGCAAAGAAAGTGGAATTTTCATTATCTTTTTCAGAAGTTTCGAAATTTGGCTGATCTTATTTACCTTTGCTATGGGAAAACAGCCTGATACTTACGACGTGATATCATGTTTGCAATTTTTATCAATCATTTCAGTAAGATGATAATTTTTCACCAAGCAATTTTTTTTCCTTCAAAGGTGTAGAATAAAAGCAGTTTATTTTCAAACTTCAGTTGACTCTTGTCTTCGTGACATAGGAATCTTGTAGGCGTATATAACATAGGGTTGGAAAGTGGGTTGACCAATCAGACAGTGCCCACTATCTACGGTTATATCATGCCCCCCCAAAAAGCAATTAGTTATCATCAATGGAGCAAAATTCCTCTTACCCTACACAATCAGTGATTACCGCCTTTCGGATAATAGCGTTATCTTTGGTTTCTATTCCCTGAGCTGAATTACTTTCTACTGGTCCATTGAATGTGGATATCGGTACTAAAGATGCAACTCAAATGAACTTAATTCAAATGTGACTAAACACCTATAGGCGTACTTGAGTTCAGCAAAAACGAAAACGTTTTTTTTTCTTTTTTTAACCAAAGGGATCATTTTTAACTAATCCCCTAGACTGCGGTTATTTTACGCGCCAGAAGACCAATATTTACCATCGAGTTCCCAAAAACAGTAACTGCGCAATATTTACGAAGTTTTTTTTTCTATTTCATCCCTTGAAAATCACTATGGCATAGCGTTGAAGTTTGTGAGCAAATAACACCTACTAGGCTTTGATAGACTTCAGTCTTGCCTGAAATCAACGTTGAAAGAAACTTGTTAGAGTAAGTACTAACAGTCTAATAATTAGTACTAAGTAACTTTCTTTTTAGCCTTGGAGAATTATCGGTAAAGAAAAAATCCACGAGTTGTCTTGAGTTTAGGATGAAGTCACGGAATCCTAAAATTGAAACTCGAGGATGGCACTCAAAATAGGTACCGGCTTAGAGGGTTGCACGAAATGAAGCCAAGTTCCAAATAAGGTGTTTGTATTTTTGTTTTTAATTCATCAACGAAACACAGTTGTGATTTTTAAAAAGAAGTCCTTTTGAGGCTCCCTTATGATTTCAAAGTATGAATTTATTTTCTCGGCATTTTTGTGTTTTGAGGTAATTAATTGAAATGACAACTTTAGAATTAAAAAAAATAATTGCATTTTGCGGGGGAAAATTTTTTTCTCACAAATACTGCGATGAAATATGTGTTGGAGTTGTTTTGTTTCGTGATGTACGACATAAAAGCAATCGGGAAAAAACATTGATTTATGTTATTAGAAATTAATTAGTAAAACGATTGGAACAATCGCTCTTGTCCTTAAAATTTTCAAAACCAAGAAAAAATATATTTAAAGATGGAATTAAAAAATCAATTAACACCGAGTTAGCAGCCTATAAGCTACAGGTCGGCTTTTAAATCATTGCGGCAAAAATGGTGAAAGGATAAAACATCAGTCGCTAAGTCGCCTCTTCACAGTGTTTACCGCCGGCTGGTCTGTCAGAGGCTCACCGCTCGTGTGTTCAGAAGGTCCAGTTCACTGAGTATCATGTAAACCTAAGCCTCCTGTTTACAATATCTTTAACGGCTTTAATTAATTCCGTACTGTGTACATGAAAATTTGGACTGACCAGCCAATATTAAAATATTGTAGTACTGGATGACCAATTTATTATATCGTTTTTGGCACCTTGAGGTAATTAAAAAAGTCTGCTTTTTTCCACTGACAGTATAAAAGTTAGTTGAGATAGCGTTTTCTCACCGAAATTTTTCGACTAGAAGAAGAGAAAAAAATTACTAGTTTATGGCTGCTCCTGTCAGCATGCGAAGAAAAGCTTTAAGTTGCATTGATGCCAATTTCCTCAGATCGGTGAGTCCTGAATATCAAGTCTAACTTTTTTGAATAGAAATTTATTCCATTAAAAGTAATAATCCGGAATGGTAGCGCCAAGAGCGTAAGAATTACCATGGAAATGCTAAAAATGTACCAAATTAGGACAATACGACACCCGCAAAGATGGCTGTATTTAAATTTATGGGATTAAGTAAGTGAAACTGTTGATGTGAAGTGGTTTAACTGTCAGCTATTTCCGATTTGTCTTGTTGGTACTTATTATTTGGTAAGCTATATTGTTTTTGGAGGGTTTGAATGTATTCTTTATCTTATTTTAATCATAAGAAAACTCATCTACAAAATTTTATCGTTCATCTAAATTTCTAAGCTATTCGGAGATAAGATTTCATTTGAGATTTTAGTTTTACACGCATTTGTTCATGGAGGGTTATTTCTCTCCGTCTATAACGCTTTCCACCGACGGTTCTCGCAATGTGATTCTTTTTCCTCACTGTTCTTCATGTTTATTTTATAAAGCAGTGCTTTAATGTTTTAGCAAGGCTTCTTTGCAACCTGTTTGATGGAGCTGAAGTAAAACCATACACTGCTGTTGCGAAGCAAGGGTTGTTTGAGACAATGTAAATATGATTTTGATTTGCTCTCTCTCAATCCAGATTTAAGATGTTAGGGTTTTTTAAAGAGGAAGACCTGAGATTTCGTTTTAATGCTACAGGAGCAGGGAAGAAAAAAAACAAAAAGAAAAAACAGAGGGTTAAAGTATGATTTTTCCCTACCATGGAATATCTGTCTGAACGCAGATATCTACATCAGTCGTAAATAAACGACTTATTTGTGATCTTTTTTATTTGCGTTTATAAAACTATTTCAGGAAGAGCGTGTAGGTTAAGAGTTTGCTGTTGTCGTTAAAGTCCCACTTAAACTTACCAATAGCAAACAGAGCAGAAATCTTGAATATTTCCACATGCTAAAGATTCTATTTTCGCAGCATGATCACTCAGGATGCTAACTCTAGAAAGTGACCAATTTGTTATCATAATCTAACTATTAAGGTAAACAAAACCTTCTGAAACTTGGAGTGCCACAATGTTCCTATATGCTCTGATTGTTTCACTGCGTTACAAGTATGAAATTATGTCTGCAACTGATGTTCATGTAGAATGCCGTTTTCGTCGGTTATACCATTTTAATAAATAAAAAAACATGAAAAAAAAATTCTATTTCCTAAAATAGCAGTATTGTGTGTAAATCTTATATTAACACTCTCAAGTGATTTTTAACTACGTGTGGGCCATGGGAAAACTTGATTATTCCGAGCGTGACGGATGTAGAGAGGATTTTAGTCATGTGGTCAGAGACAGATGCACTTTCCTCGAGTGGCAGCGTTAAATGAGCAAATGACTGAAACGAAAAAAAAGTATTTTCTAATGTTTTTGGTACGTTTCTCCAATTCTCTCTTCTCAGAATTTATTGGAAAACGTGCTCCGGTTGTCGGAAAATACACTCAAAGAAAACTATCGAATTATTTACACAACTAATATCATTTGCTATATTATTCATTTTTTTCTCTCTGAAATTTCAACAGCTTATCCAGATTGCAACATATTAAAGAGGGCAAGGAAGAGCTACCTCAAATATTTGTGGAAAGAAAAGGAGAATCAAGAATTCTACGGCTGAAATTGAAGGTAAGCATACATATCTTTCGCAATGGATACTTGGTTGCTTTGCTCATTGACAAGCCATAGATTTTGTATCAGTGGTAAAGTACAAAACGAAAACCAACTGATAAATTTTAGAGTTGCTTTTTATATCATTATAGATTGGGATGAGTCTTGAACACGAAAACTCTATTGATTTCTCTTTCCCTTCGATGAACTTGATTTTATATATCGTTGTGGATTATCGTTAAAGGAATGGAAAAAAAATCATATATAAAAAACATACAGTAATGATGCTCAAAATGCAAACTTCCCTAGTTTCTACTCGCCATTTTTTTATCTGGAAATCTTGCGGCATTTTAGAATTTTTATTTCTCTTTTGATCCGCTAATCTTATCAAGATTTCCTCTCCGGTAAGTAAAAAAAAAATATATATATATATAAATGGATTTAGTTTTTTTTCGGAGCGAGATGTTGCAGCTACTTTGATGAGAGGAAGAAAGTGGAAACCTATTTAGATCGATGAAATCGATGGTCCATTGCAGCAATTCTGGACCGCTTGCATTTAAGCAGCAAAAAATTTTCTGAGCTATAGCTGGATTAATATAATTCCTCTACTGGACAAAACAAGATTTAAATCTCACATAGTACATGTTTACATTTACATTTTCATATATTTTCCATATCTAACTGCGAGGAAGATACTAGATTCAAAGCTATCGCGGAGAAGCTACAAAAATTTTAAAAAGATTTTTCTCTTAGAAAATATCACCGAATAGTTGTGGAAAGGAAAGAGGTATGAAATAGAAAATGAATCCATGACTTATCAGAGTTTCCTATAACTTCCATAAGACATTTTTTTTAAGTAGTTAAGTATTCTGAATTGCGCAAGGCGAAAGTGTATAATTGGTTTCACACTCACTGGGTTATTCCGCTGTTTTTATTTCCGACTTCAGGAAGTGAAGCTTTCGAAAGATGTATCATAAACAAAAGTGCTCCTACAGCTTTGTTTTGACCGATTCGTGAGTCATTCTTCGTAATTGTTGAAGAGCCTTTGAAGCAAATTGTTATTGATGGGCCTTTTATCTAAAATAACTTTTTTCGCCCTTTTACTTAATTATCTTTTGGATTCTTTTTGTTCCTTGTTTTTGATGAAGGTGACTGTACAGTGGGGTGATGTGGATGTCTATTGGTTGTTACTTTTTGCATTCAAAAGATCTATTCAATCGGTGCTGATTTTAGCCTCATTTCCCCCTATTCAAAAAATATCATCTATTTTCTTTAGAAGTTCTAGCGAATTTTTTAAGTTTTTTTATTCCCTGGGTAGTTTCCTAATTCAAGACTAAATAGAGGATGTTCTTTTGTGCTAGTGAATATCAAATTATGTTAATCCAGAAAAAATATAACTAGATTTCTATTTTTCAAAGAAAGGCCGTAAAATTCTATCTTTCCCCAAAAATATTTATGAGCTGTCTCAAGGACCAGGAATTTCAGAATCTCTTTCGTACACCCTGTCTTTTTTTGCAAGAACAGCGAAAAAATGATCATGGTATTAAAACAATAATGATAAACTTTTGTAGTGCGGGTGTGATGGCGAAATAGTTCAACTTTACAGGTGAGGTGGGGTCAAGAAAAATTGCAAGAGGGGAAGGTAGGGGAAGCAAAGTTCCTTGGGGATGTAAATAAGCCGGTTATTTAAGAATTACTAATGGATTTTCAATATAAAATGACCTTCCTTTGAGCTACTGAGTTGCTTTTTAAGTTATCATGTGAGACTGAAATACCATAAAATAAATTGTTAGTGCCCTCGAGGAGTGAAATTAAACCTTAGAGACACCCATACAAAACGATTATGGTTGCTTGTTGGTTTTGACTTTCTCTAGAATAATCCACTCATTTGCAATAGCTTTCCCCCGATGGAAAACATCACGAAGAAGAATCTTATCAGAGAAGATCTCATGAATAGTAAAAAATTTCCTATGATAATTGCCAGGCAAGCAAAGATAAGTGAAATGTAAGAATAAATATTCAAAGGTGTTTTACCAGAGGGAATAAATTTCGTAATGGACGGAACGTCAGTTATCATAAAAGGCGTCCCAAGCTTTCGTCTCGAGAAAAAGCAAACGATTTAAATTCATGAGAGCGAATATCAGGAGTAACAGTAATGGCCAGGCAAAACGGCAGAGAACGCCAGAAACCACAACGGAGACAAAAGATGTGAGTAACTTCTATTAATTCTACGTGTAAAATGTTCATATTTCGAAATTTTTAACGTTGTAAATCGACCATATTTTGTTCTCCATATTATTCCTTGTAACGTGTTCAAATTCGTTTCCTCTCGTAACCTAACACAATGTCACACAACGCGTGACGCTTTCATGAATTACTTGAGACGTGAGCTTGGGATGCCTGTGCTATAATGAAGGACATTGTGCCCTTGGCATTCAGCTATATCGAAGTTAGTTCAGTAAACAGTTTTTATTTTGCTGTTTCAAAATATTTTTAAGGAGAGGTGCTGTCGTTTTCGTCTATCCACAATTTTAATTTTCCCAGTTTATCTATGAAAAAAGTCAAACTCAAGTTCCTACGTTCTTTGCATAAAATATTAATTTCGTTATCTAATAGAACTTCCTGACTTTTTTCCAAATTTCGCAAGACAGCCCAGAGGATTTAGTCGATTTCAATATTCAGTATTGACTAGATGAGTTTTTCTTTTTTTTCTTTTAACTATTTGAATTTATATATCTTAACAGAGTGAGCTCCAGAATTCTTTCCCCTTAGAATTCAGGCTGGAGATAATCGTTGTCTCAAAACAATACATTGTAAGATGCTTTTTATTCCTTACAAAAAGCCAGTTGAACGTGGCAATAGCTGAATAAAAGAGAACACTACATTGTAGGTTTGCTAATTCAAACAATACAACTGACACCTTGACACTCTAATAAGTCTCAAGGGTTAGATTTCAAATCATTTATTCATTACCCGTTGACGTACTAGTTTGATTAACATGTAAAAACGGGTGCTAAATTTAATAATAGAAGTCCAATAAGGTGCTAGACGGTGTTCGTAACAGTTTACATTCACTACTATTTAAGACAAAGAGAGCAAAACGTTTTGATTCCATTTCGCAAGAACTGGGACTTAAAGCGATACGCTAAGAGGTCTACGAGAAGTTTGTTAGTACCGCAACAAGCAATTTAGTGTGAGTAAGCTGCTGTTAATTTTTGGTAACTCAGATGTTTGTTCGTAATGTGCTGGTCAGAGGGGCGAACTGTAATCATTTATCACAGTATGGCTTCCTAAAGTTCGTTGTATTCTAAATAACGCAAGTGATATATGAGAAAACCAATCTTGACTCGATCTTGATCTCTTCCTTACAACGAGACAGGTTGGCTTTGCTTCAAGGTTCATCTTGGAGGGGGGAGGAGGGGAGGGGGGGAATAGGGAACTGAAAAAACTGAAATTTGCCAGAATGTGTATGAAAGCGTGAACTTTGATTTTTTTTTCTTTTTTCAAGCATATCCAAAGCAGCGTCGGAAAATTACAAAACAACCAAGACTCATTTGCCATAAACTTTTTTTCGTAGACAAACAAGTTTGCAAACGTGTCATGCTTTTATTTTAAATTTGCATCTCTTATTCTGGTACCACAAGAAAAAAAAAAGAAAAAAAGACTTCGATGATTAAAAACGCCAATGTGTTATGGTTTGGGACCGAAAACTAATAACCAATGTTTAAAAAATGTCTCAGAGTTACTTAGAAATAATTCAAAAACCAACCTTAGGCAAGTAAAGTCAAATGAGTGCGTGTGGGTGTGCAATTACATTTTTTTTATTTCTTCTAAAAATAGCGGAAATTTATCGTTACCGCTACCGTTTCATTTGCTTTTTCTCTTCAGACTCACGTTCGGCACATTATAAAAATGAAAAAAAGGAAAATCTGTCACGCTGCGTCGGCGGGAAAATTACTTCGTTCAATACCAAGTGGAATTTATAGACGTACATAATCGCCATATTTCATATAAAGAGTTGAAGTTTCGAGATCCGCCGAGATAAAACGGAATATTGTAAAAAAAAAAATAGAAATCTATATATATATATTTGTTTTTATTTATTTTCAAATTCTATTCTTAAAAGCCTTTTTGCTTTTGCCGAAGCAAAACGTCAAGAGCTAATGATGGCTTGAAGAACGTTTCTCGAGTCTACTCTGTGCGTGTTCCTGTTTCTTTGGCGTTTTTTATCGTTATGGCCTTTGTATTTCCGCCATTTTTGTCACTTAACCCCTTACATTTGTTTGCAATCAGGGTAAATTTTTGCTATGGCTACTTGCAAGAGTGACCGCTGAATGGTTGTGCGAATGAATATCAAAATCACCATCACAGACCAAGCAATTGCTAACAGATGTGGAATTAAATATAATTAAGTTGATTTTTTTATGACGTAAAAGGAAGCTATTTCTTAGGGTTATTTATCCTTTTCAATTTTAATGATTTAATGATTAGCTTTTGATGTTCCAAGTCACGTTTAGCTTAGTGAATAAAGGAAAAAAAAAAGAAAAAGAAAAGCTGTTGTTAAAATTACAAACAACTAAGAAATATTCATAACAAGACCTTTTTTCCTTCGTTTACGGGTGAGTTAAACATTCATCTATCAATTCAAAGTTGATGAATGTCCAAAAAAAAAAAAAAAAAGTAAAATCATAAAAGACTTGCTGTCAGCGAGAGACGTAATGGTCCTGGTTTGAAATGTGCGCATGCGTGCCAGAACGCTTACTCTCAGAGCGGCTCTCTCGAACAATGGAATTTGAATGAATACAATCCTGTCCTGAAAAAATATACACTCTAAAACGAAACATTGTTATAACAAAAGTTAGATTGCAAAATAAAGATAGTTAAATGTAGATAAGAAAACGTTCGAATTATCTATTTCTCAAAATGATTTAGTCTGACCTCTTGCCTGACATAATCTTTGGGGTTTCTTGTAAGGGACTGGTTTTAATAGCCCCTAAATGATCTAGGAATGGAATAGACCCTGTCAGTAAGGCGCCAGTTGGCTTGTGACGCTGAGGCTAATTGAAAATCACTTATCTGCTCAATGCAATGCTAAAACGAGCAATTTTTTTTTTCGACAGAAACATGAGTGCAAGCAATTCCTCTAATGAAATCACAGCTGACCCCCTCGGACGAAGCGATGTCCAAATCGGGGTTGAAGTCGCCTTCGCTGTGTTGATCTGTCTGATCAGCTTTATTGGAAATTCCTTGGTTGTTTACGCCATTCACCGCGATCGCAGACTTGACACCATAACGAATATGTTGATTGAAAATCTGGCGTTCAGCGATATTCTTATGGCGTTGCTGCATATGCCATTTTGGATAGTAAGTCTTCGGTATGGAAAATGGATCTTTGGTCACGTGCTTTGTCAGATGGTTGGGGTCACACAACTCATTTTTGGAATTGTGTCACTGTTGACAATGACAGGAATTGCTATCAATCGTTACTTCAAGGTCGTCAAACGCAAACTGTATATTAAGTTCTTCTCCAACAGGAAAGCAACATACGCGGTTATTGCGTTTTGTTGGTTCGCATCTACTGCTGTAAACACACCGCAATTGTACGGCTGGGGAAAAATTGACTATCATGTCAATTTCTCCGATTGCACCTGCGTCTGGGCTTTGGATGATGTATCATTCATCATATTTTTGTGCGCTGCTACAATCTTCATTCCAGCCACAATCATATTCAGCTGCTACTTTGTGATTTACAGAACTGTCCGTGAGAGCGCACGTCGTGTACACGGGCACGCAGCCTTACCGAACGCCACCAAAACCGAAGACAAGACCGAAAACAAAGTTTTGAAAACATCGCTAGTGGTGGTTTGTGTCTACATGATTTGTTGGACCCCTCTGTCAGTAATTGGCTTCATAGAGGTTTTCGGATCAAGAAGTCCACGAATATTTTATTACCTGGCTTACGTCCTCGTCTACTGCAGTAATATGACGAATCCGTTCATTTACGGGATAATGAACCCCCAGTTCAAGAACGCATTTGCTTGTATACTGCAACTACGGGATTCTACTGCTAGTGAAGCCGAAAGAGTGTCGGTATCGCGAAATATAGCTTCTAACGTGGACCTGGCAGAAACGTATATTTCAACTGCACAAGCAGTGCCAGTGTAAACTAGTCATCATTACGCTTATCGCTTTCATGGAAGGAAAAGTATCTGCAAACATCTATAGTCATAGCAGTTTTGTTTAGGGAAAGATTTCTGAGGCACACTCTAGTAAGCGGACAGTTCTCTGCTCTGGCCGCCCTGGACGCGTCACAACAATAAGATATGTGGAAATTGTTTTTAGCTGAAATTAGAATATGTTGATAATTTGGCAAGGTATACAGGCATCAAGCAAAGAAGAACAAACAAAACCAGGAGTTGAAGGATATTAAGATATTTTACGCAGATTGTAAGCTCGAAAATTTAAAGCTAATTTGTTAGGTGTTTGCAAGGTGAAGAGCTCTTCTATTTCAAATTTAGTTCTTCATAGTTTCGTCAAACTACGAAAAAAACAGCCCGAACGCTTATTTGTTTTGTTTTGTTTTTTTTATTATTATTTTGACTATTTTTCTAAGAGCCCGAATGGCAATAGCACGAGTAAGGTGGTGAGCTTTGTAGTGAAGAGATTGTTACAACACATAGTTTAATATCTTTTTCGCTTTTTCCCACGCCAAATACCGTGCGTTTCATTCATAGGAATTTAATGACTTTGTCCATTTTGATTAAGTTATTCATTTAAAAGTCTATAAAGTAATATCATGATATCTCCATAATTTGCATACCTTTTCTTTATGGATTTGCCCAAACGGAATCCCAGACGTGGTGAGAAGCTGATCCGTTAATAAAACGAAAAAAGTTGTTTGAGTAAGAAGACGCATTCATCATAAGTCTTAATCCCAAATCTCTGCATAATACGAATCCCCCCCCCCTCTCCTTTTCCAAAAAGAGGAACTAGAACAAGCCACTAGAACAAGAACTAGAACTGAGTTAAACAACGGGACAAGTAAAGCATCAATTAGCAAGTAAAGCATCAATTAGCTTGTTGAATAAGTGAATAAATAAACAAAATTAACACACTGTGTTGTCGATCATGATCCGCTCAAGGCTCAACAAGCCCTTAATGTTAATAGATAACCAGAATATTGTATCTGAATTGATTGTGTAGTACATTTAACAATTTTACTTTGAAAATATACGAAGATTGATGTGTTTGATGACATTTCCAAGCAACTTATGCGGCATTGTGATAAGAGTTTATCTAAAGTAGTCTAAGTTTAGTATATAAAAAATATCTAAAACAAAATTAACTAGCAAAAAGAACAATATAACGATAAATTACGTGTAAGGCCCGGATGATATATTTTAGGTCAGGTCTTTTGGGATTCTGACGATTTGTACATTACTCATTACGATGACAACACTTTCCTAGCTAGGAAATCAGAAGTAAATAGCGTGGTAATGTAAAAAGGTAATAAAAAGGTTGAATAAATTAAAAGCGTAACGTAAAAATTGCTTTGACCGCGCGTTGTACTCTTTAATAAGCGTGTTATCCATCCATTTCTTCGACAACCTTCGACCAAAAGACCTTCGACAACCTTCAGGCGCATAGGTCTTAAATATTCCCTGACTTTGTAGGACTAACTGCGTGACATAGAAACGGTTATGCCTTATCTAGCTAGGTGTGATCATTTTGTAGGCTACCTGACCGCCGTTCTTTAGGATGTCACGCAACGCTCTTCTTCAAATAAAGGGGGAGAGTCGCGTTTTCCTCAAGGAAAAATTAACATTTTGATGGAAGTCGATAATTCCGCCAAGGCTTTAGCGATAAGTTTTGAAATGGTGAAACAAAACAGAGACTCAAATTATTATGTTTCCAAAGCGTACTATCGGAGCGGATCTCGCGATTGTTCGTATAACATACCGTGTTAACGTTTGATATACCACAAGGAACCCATTAATTAAGGTGTGAATGCTTTTACTCTTAACTTTCCACGGAAAGTGTAGGAATATTGGAAAGTTTCATATCATGGCATTACATTGTAACTAATACTGTGATGAAACATCAACATAAGAACCAACCAGATATTTTCTTTACCATGACGTCATAAAACATGGCGTCATTGTGCAATTTTAAAAAACTTAGTCTCTATATTTATGTCTCTTGAAGCCCAGTTCACTTGAATGAGATCAAGCTAAGAGTAGCGGAAATGGCGTCATTTGAAATGTGTGACAAGTCCGGCTCAGATCAGGAAAAGAAATTAGCATCCATTGTTGAAAAATAGCTAAAGGAAAAAACATTTTGAGCAGCTTATGACTGAGAAAAACAAATGGATATAATATGTCTTTCTTCTGTACATATATATATATATTTTCTAATAATTCCTTCTCCTTTGAGCATCTTTTTATGAATTACTCTATACCTCGCTTGTTGTTTCGGAAGGATTCGAGAGGAGTTTGGGCTACAAGAGATTTATACGAAAGATAATTCTATCCACATGTCAAATATACCGAACGCAACTGAATACAATCACAGAACTCGACGTATATCTATTCCTGATAAAAGCGGATTTATCAAGTATAATATATCTAAACTTGGTAATAGCTAGAAAGGATATCCATTTTTAAACTAGTTAACTTTCATACAAACACCATCGGTGCTTCTAGTTCCATGTCTTTTGTTTGATTTGATAATGGTGATAAAGTCCCGGATGCTTGACTCTCTCGACTTCCAGCTTCGCGTTGAGAATACGGTCTAGTAGATCCCAGTCTTCTCCACCCCACTTGTACTGATAGAGAGCAGTGTTCATTCCTTAAAATGAATAGATAAATAAGACACGAGCATGACTTTGCAATGAGTTATAAACATTGGCAGAAAAGGTAAAAGGGATTTTCTGATAGAAAACTTGCATTGAGTGCACATTTCTCTCGACAAGTCTATTTTCTCTTGGCAAGAGAAACATTTTTTTGGCAAGAGGAGCATTTGTTTAGGAAAACTTTTCTTCGTTAATGCAGCTCGATGAATAGTTGTGTTTACATTCTTTATTGATCAATATTTTTGCGTGTCTTATAGTCATAGAGTTCACTGATGTGGGTGGGTTACATTGTGACGAGGTCGGTATTGAACCGGATGAAGTTTATTTGCGAAGTTGTTGATATAACTTTGGAAAGGCCCTAGCGTGCAAATTTTCATTATTTTTGCGTAAAATACTAAATAAAGCTGCGAACTCACTCATATTTTCATTTCAAGCTGTTGAAAACATACTTTGTTAATTTCCAAAGCGCTATAATCGTCGTTATGTCCCTGCTGTATAACTACTTTGATAACATATACCTACCTCCAAAGCGTTGCCAGTCAGATTTGTATACACTGAGAAAACCATATCCGCTTAGCTCCCAGAAGCCTTTGTGATCGACGTATGTGCTACCACAATCTAAGCGACCAACTACAGGCGCATAAACAAAGCGTCCCTCTATTGTGTTCTGAAAATAAACGAGTATCAGGAAAAGTATTGGACTGACCTTTCTTCGATAAAATTAATTGCGATACGAAATGTTGTTTGCAGTCATATCTTAGAAATAGATGAGCCCCTATCTCTCATTTAGAGTTGGTCGCACAATATCTCAATATATATCTCACATGTAGAGAGATATATATCTCAGTATATACATATCTCGATATATATCTCTCATTAGAGGGCAAAATAGGTTCCTGACAGTCTGATTCAAGCGACGAACTTAGTTTGGAAAAGGGGATTTATCCAAGTCCAGCTGAAACTCGTACATAGCTTTAATTGCGGTTGAGACGTCAAGTTGGCAGCCAAACAAGGAAACGCTTTTCCCAGATGGGAACAGAAATAAAAAGCAAGTCAACTCATTTTATAACCAAGTTGCATCCATCGTGATGGACCGATGGTATTGTACAAGCTCTCTGTACTCGATGAATCATGATGCTTTTGACTGTGCTACGTAATAAATGATTAGATAATTTGGTTTAATGAATTGACTTTATATTGTAAGCTAGCCATCGTGAGGAGTTTCCAAGCTGACGTTTAATCCACGGCTATATTTGCTATACTGTAAGGCAGTTGAGAGAAAAGGAAAAATGAAAATATTTGTTAACCCTAGGACGAACATGCAAACACATACCTCACTCAGGTACAAGGAGGATGAGGTTAATGGAGGGGTGGCTGGATCCCCCCCCCTCTAGCATTTTCGCTACGACGCAGTATCTTGTAAAGATTTACCTTAAATGGATAGCTTGTTATGTCGTCTACAAGATAATGTTTATATCATGGAAAAATGGAGCTGCTGGGATCAGTGACGTTATCGAACATGTTTTTTTTTTTAGATTTTTCACTTTTTCCACTACAATATTTGCCTTGTCAGAGAACAAAAGCTATCAAACTTAAGAGTAAAATCGAAAATAAGATTAAAAAAATAAATAGTAACTTTGCTGTACTTCCCTTTTCAACTTAGAAGATTTAGTTCGTTCGTAGTCATATCAACCCTTAAACCACACCTCATTTGTCATTTAATATATTCTATATCTTTGAGTTGATTTCCACCAAATTCACAGCAAATATTCCTCCAAGATAAACAAACAGTTACTGAAGGGGAAAGTTGCTCAGAGGAAATCCTCTTCAGACAATTTTAAGAAAACCCGAGAGGAGTCCACCCCCACTCACCCCCCTTCTCATCCCTTCCCCTTTGTACTTCCTAGGGTTAATTTAGTAGACACTATTTGATATGATCAAGCTAGGTCACCAGCAGTTATGAGAATTGATGTTAGGTTCTTGGAAGTGAAAGAGCTGATGACATTATCCGAACCGACTCACCTTGCGAACGCTGTCCAACATATCTACTGGTACGTCAGTATGGAGATCAAACAGAAACAGTAAATCTTGCGCACTTGGAACATGTTCAACTGCTGTGTTTAACGCCAAAGTCTTGAAAAATTTATCTTGTAACGAAATAATCGTATGTCTGTTGCGAAGAAGAGAGGTATCAAACGCCTTTGGCAAATCTATATCTTTACTCTCAAAGTCAACGATAATGACATGAAAGTTCGTATCAGCGGTCAAATAGCTAGCAATGGTGAGCTCGTTGATTAAGTGATAAACCCATTTTCCTTGATCCTTGACAGGGACTATGAAGTACACTTTAGCCTCTTTATTCCAAGCCATACCGTCCTGGAAGCACAAACTGTGATTGACCTTTTCTTGAAAGACGTGTTCTGACAGGCGAAACGACTGTTTAGTACCCTCTAAACCGACCTCCAGCTCAACAGAGTAACGATCTCCGTAAACTGGATCTGTCCTCTGCAGTATTTTGTGGATTCTCTTTAGAAAATAGTTTCTAAATCAGATCAATAGAGAATTAGTCAAAGATACTGAAACTCAATTTTAGGGGGCGATATTCAATGGGCACTAACCCACATGACAAGACACATGTTTCTAATCTTGCGCGAATACTGTTACTGATTTTGCTAGGGAGATTCAGTATCTTGTTGGGAATTTATGGAACAGAGGTAGAGACGCAAGAACGAAACCAAAGTTTCTTCTTTCGATTAATTCTAAATAAACTTACTAATATAATGAAGAGATAAATATCACATGCAACACATAAACGGGAAATGAAAATAGAGAATTGAACTTATCTATGCTATTCTAAAATCTTCGATACGGAGGTGTTCTCAAGAATCCATTATTTTATTTTAAACATTTTGGCAAAGAAAAATGTAGCCTTTGATGAGGTGAATAGAATGCTGAGGCATGTACCCATTTTTCATCAAGATTTATTTGTTCGTGCCCGATAGGGCTGGTAGAGTAAGCTACAAGATTAGAGAGAAACATAAAAAAGAATTAAGAATCGGTATTAAATATTGTCTCAACTATTTTAACTATTCGCTGTAGCTTTTTGTCGTTTCAGCCCATATAGTAATTAAGCAAAGACCTTTTATATCCTGATAATGTCGTCTTCAGGAGAGAAGAAAACGTATTCAAGCTGTATTTTGGAAGTGGACAGATAATTGAGTTTAACGTAATGGATCGATGGTATTGTAAAAGCTCTCTGTACACGAAAAATCACGCTACTTTTGACTGCCACATTTAGTAGTAAGATACCTATGTTATATTAATTGAGTTTATAATGTAAACTGACCATCGTATTGAGCTTCTAAGCTAACATTTCGAGTTTCAGCCCTTTGTCAGCCCCCCCCCCCTCTCCCAGCGACAAAACATGATATTTTCTTTAGAAACTTACCTTTTGTATATATGATTAACTTACTTGGATGTTCCCAGTCTCAAAGAAGTCATAAGCTTATCCACAACTGCTTGAATTACATCCTTGTTGGCAACCTTATTTGGCCAAGATATTAGGTAGCCTAGGTCACCCATTGCAGTATCGTCCTCAGGATATACGATCGATTCAGGAACCGCTTTCACCCCTTCGTACGTATGAACTCCTTGCTGCAGCAGATAACTGCTTTTGTATTCGCACGAGGGTAAGTAACTTATTCTGGGAATGAATGGCAGAGAATAGAATGACAAGTATTCCTTTCTAAATTTTTTGGATTTCCTCAATGCTAGTTCGTGTTGGTGCTGTCCTAAAAAAGACATATGAAGGGCATCTTTTTTCTCTGTAGGAACTGGAATTTTGATTGGGTAGGTGGATATGTAATTTGCATTTATCAGTTTGAAATCATCCTCTAGAGCACTCTTCCAATACAACTGTACAAAACCATTCTCGGTGCCTTGTTTGTGAAGAATTTCGAAGTAATATTTCTTGCCGTTAAATAGGTTCACTGTTTTCGAAATTTGATCTGGATATTTATCCAATACATTTTCAGTGGTCCAAGCAGAAGCATTCTTTGAAAACACTTTTGCTCTCAATTCCTTTTCACGTGGATCTTCACTAAAACTAAGCCAAAATTCTGATGCATCATCAGAAGCTATGGCAAAACGGTAGGACATACTCCTGGGTGGGTATAAAAAGCCAAAAATGCGTTGACCATAGTGTTCTGTGTTGTCTTGAATTTTAAAGTCGGTGATGAATACTTCAAACTGTTCATCGGGAAAGTAAGGGAAAAATATTGATTCTCTGAGTTGTGAGACGTCAAAGCCACACAAATTCCGCCATGTATGAACGTTCACTGCACCCATGAGAGGCTTTACAGTTGTTGTGCCAGTTTCTGGTTGGATGTTTTTTCTTAACCGTTGTTGTGAAGACTTCAAAATGTAACGCCAAATAAAGAACCCTACTAGAGTAAATAAAATGAAAGCTTTCCCAAGTCTTTTCAGCTTGCGAGAAGAAAGAAACCTTCTACGAACTGCCATATGTTGGGATAATTCTGGTCAACTGTGAAAGCGAAGTGCTGATGGTTTCATGACCAACTTCAGAAGTCACCGTTGAAATTTCGTCTTGAATCCTCTTAATTTGACGAACTCAGACCCTGTGGAATCTAATTAAGATAACTATATCATGAGTTTGTTTATTCTTTCTCGTATATGATTCACATTTCCTGTTTTTTTAAATAAGAAATCAAGTGACCTGAAATATTCAAAGTGTATTAAAATAAATTACGTAAAATTATTTGTTTGTTCAAATTAGCAAAAAGAAGAGAACGAGGGGTGGAAATGGACGACTCGAAATCTAATTATACATGTCATTGCCACTGGTTCTAAAATAAATACTATAAACGTAATACATTCAGAACGCAACAAATAATTCAGGGGCGAATCAAGAAATTCTAGAAGGAGGGGGCCGAAGAAAATGCGGCAAGAGCGCATCTCCCTTCCCCCCTCACATGCCCTCCATCCGAACTAGTCTAAGTGCAACCGTACCCCCCCCCCCCCCCCCCCCCCCCCCCCCCCCCCCAAGGTGAAACCTAAGTGAGGGAATTAATAACATAAGAAATACGAGGCGCTCGATCGATGAATGTCGACAGTTACCTGATCATTTGGGAATTCGTCGAAACAGTATTTAGTGATGGATTACTTGTAATCACTTATGAAATAGAGAGAACACTTTCATTTGCGTAACCTGCACGAAAGTCAAACTATTTAAGAATAGCTGCGCGGACTGGGACTAGGCTGGTGAATTGGTTTCTAGAAATGCGTCGTTCCACCCTTCGATATGTAATAATGCTGGCGGTGAACTACTGTATGATGCGCAGTGAACCTTACTGTTCGTCTTGTCACGAGCGAGGGGCCAAAACAGTCCGAATTTCCTTATGTAACGGGAACAATAACATCGTTATTTAATTTATCACCATCTTCAAAATTTTCCATCTCTGATATTATGCTTACTGTAAAAAGGTTTGTTGATTAGACAATCTGCATTGTGCTGCTACTAAGAATATTGTTATTAGTAGTGAGTCAATAATAAATTTGCATATGTAAAAGTGAAACCAAGTGAAGAAAGTGACAGATATAATTTTGACCGGTATTACCAAGGAAACCGCGGTATCTTACAAAAATGTGAATTAATATATCAAACACGAGGAAGAGTGTTTCATCCAATATCTAAACACCGAGAAATGGTTGAAAAAACGAGGCGCAGCCGAGTTTTTTTTAACCACCTTCAAGGTGTTTGGCTATCGGATGAAACACCCTTTCGAATGTTTGATATAGCTTCTCAAACCATTGGTAATTCTTGGAGAAATCACAGCAAAAGTTCACCAATTTCTACGATAATTAAGATCACATATCCAAACCTCCTTCACTGTTGTAATTTCCTTCGTTTCCTCAGCATGAATTATAAATGAGTTTGAGAAGCAAAGATCAAATCTCGCAAGGATATGAAATACGGTCCTTAGGCCGAATTTCCTTTCAATTTTTCTTGCAAACACATTTGAATTCCTATAATATATTTACTGCAAGCCAATAAGCAAAAGAAAACCACGAAAAGAAAACGATTCCTCTTGATTCTTCCAGGAATTTATAAGAAATGGGTTTAAGGGATTTTCCATCTTCAATTTGCTCTTTCACTCGAAAACGATTTCTATTGATTCTTCCTGGAATTTTTAAGAAATGGGTTTAAGGAGTTTTCCATCTTCAATTTGCTCCTTCACTCTTAAGCTTCAGAATGCCAGTTCGAGCCGAGATTGAGTATCAGTGTTGTTGAATAGAAAGCGGGCGAATGATTGCTTAAATTCACCCAAAAAAATGAGAGAAAAAAAGTAAGAAGCATTACGAGCTACATGAATAATTGATAGGACGAGTGCAAGACAACTCAATATGCACAAGTAGCATCCACAAAATATGCACAATATTCACAAACTTAGAAGTTAGTAACATAAAAAGCAGGTTTCTGTTGGATATTTTTCACCTTCTAGTCAGATCCTACCTTGGACGATAGAAATAGATTTCCTGCCAGTTACGTCTTCGTGAGGAATAAAGCGCTACAAATCCAGACAAATCTCCATCGCGTGAATAAATGGTATAAGAAAGTTGCTATAGACTATATTTACTTCTTAAAATGCTAGTCATGTCCTGTCGCTTGAGATTCGGCGGTTATGTCTTTACAGCAAACTCAGAAGGGTGAGTTTAGGTGATATTTAACAATGTGGCTGTTTCACAATAAAAAGTTAATATTCCGCGTCCACGAGGTCCTCGTTCAGATATGACTTCCGGTTTAGAACAATAGGCGTTGTTTCTCGTGTCTGCAAGTTGCTAAGTGAGGGAACTGTTCTATGGAAACATTAGGGATTTATTTCGTTGAAAAACTCTGCGAAGAGACAAAGTAACTACATTAAAGAATGCAACGGATATCACCTACTCATTGAACTCATTGATTCAATAGTTCAAAAAATAAGATGTTTTGGTAAACGAAAAGTTAACTGGCGAATCATGTGATCCAAAAACTCATGAGGAGTTTGTTGGTATTTTTTTTTTGTGTGTGGTACGGGTTGCGGTTATACTAAATTATAACGAATAATTTTTCGCATTAATTCCAGGTTATTTTCGTTCCAGAAGAGACATAAGAAAGGAAGTGGTTGACAACAGTTGGGTGGTTTCTCTCGGAGTAAAACTTTTTTAAGGCGTACTGGAAACTTCTAAACACGCCAGAGGATAAAAAACCAAGTCAGTCTAAACTACAGACATTAGTCGTTTTAAAGACTTCTCAAGCCAAAACTATCTGCTAAACCGATCAACTGTTACCATCCTTAGTTCATACCGTGTACTTAAGAGCGTTTGTCTGTAAAAATCAAACATATCGCGGCAAGGGTGGAAAATTCGATTTCTTTCTTATTTTAATGTTAGATAGGCTAGACTATAACTAAAATCACGGGATACTTTTTTTTGGCAAAATATCTTTTTATTTCAGAGAAAAATACAAATAATAAAATTCCGTTGAAATCGTCATTTTTAGCAGCAAATTATTGCACGAGTTTGAGGGCTTCGCGTGCAAAAACGAATCACTATCTCGTCTTTTAAACACTCAAATCTTCTTTTTCGATCTCATAAGACCTCACAAAATGATTTTTGTAAACATTGCGCTCTTCTTTGCGCTTAAAATAATTTAATTTCATGGCTATTCATGGCGGAATGTTCAAATTTTTTAAATTCACGATGAACATAAGGAGGAGTGCAAAAAATCTCTTTAGAAGCTCAGTCTCACGAGGCGCCAAGATAACAACTCTCTTTCATTATCGGAACGAAATTCAACCATACTCCTAATTTTTGTTTCTGTTTGTTTGTTTTTCGAAGAACTTCCTTGGACGCCATTTAGGCCCAACTGATATACAATTATGACTCGAAACTAAAAAGGATCATATAGAAGGAAAACAGTTGTACCTTTTCTATCTTTCGAATTTCGATAAAAAACATTTTTTGCGAGGATCGCGGGAAAATCTATTTGAGAAAATTTCAAGTGGCAGGTAAAACTATCAGTTTCCACTTAGCTGTCGATTTGGATGGGATTTTAAGTAAAGGCGTCGATAGCCTTGGTCTCTCACAGGATGCCTGAAGATTACGTAGAATGATCCTTGCTCAACAATGTGCCAATGAAAATGAAGGGAAAGAATTCAGTTGAATTGATGGAGGTTAAATATCCATGAAAAGTTTTTATTATTGTGAGCATATGCAGTCATATGCAGGAGTAGATAATGAAACTATTAATAGTCATAAAAAAATAGCATTAACTTTGGTCACAAGGCTTAAAAATATTCCACATCCATTTCTGTCATAAAGTAATGGAGTGTTTTTTATGTCTGACTATGGAGTCTTTTGGACACTCTTTAAACAGCACTTTTCATGTATTAATCTTCTTAGTATTAATTACTTTCCTACTTTAACCCTGCACTATCGATATCTTCTGTTTTTTATTTTATTTTATTTTATTTTTATCGTACGATTCCTCTTTTTCTCTCATGCAATTTTATTTTTGTGTATATTGATGTATGAAATATAGGTTAATTTAATTAGCAAACAATATTATATCCTTCTCCTTTTTTGAAACGGAGAAGAAAAAAGCTGCAACAACAACAAAAACAATCAATGGAGTCACTTTCGATGCGGCTCACGACGTACGTTCCGCCGGTGTACTGTCCATCTCCTTTGGACTTTAGCAGGATGGGTAAATTGACCTCACTGAGCCTTGCACATTAGTTTGGAAGTTGCGCCATTGAAAGAGGTCCCCTTCTCCTATCTGGCACTTCTTAGACATGCGCATGATTTCATCTTCTCTTATCACGCGACCCCAAATGTTGACACCTGTGAGTTTACCGATAAAACTTTGGCTTGCTTCAAAATGTCCCCCCAGAGAGTCTTGCTCTTGTCCTAAAATAAGGACGCCACCTCCGCGGATCCAGTGACCTATTGTAAAGAAAGTGAGGGCTGACTTAAGCTTTCATACGAGGGAACCCCAACCTCATTATTTTGAACTAATATCAGGCTTTGGAGAGCGAAAAATAGAAGAATCTGATATGTTGCATGAAGCAGCGGGGTTCAATGTAAGAGGTGCCTGAAGTATTATGTTTATTCGGCGGCAATCGGTAAGTTTTACCAAGTGACGTCAGAGGTGTTTACCTTTTGCGAGGCCGTGACCGGAAGCTGCAACTCGACCATCTTTGAACAATTTCCATGATCCAGCGATATTCTCCCACGTTGTGCAAATGTGATGCCAGTCTCCATCATTTGCTGATACAGAGGTACGTCTAAAGAGAGGCAGGGATTGTAAGTAAACAATTTGTGTTAGATGGAATAAATAAACTATCAGCACAAATAAATGCAAAGAAGAGAGAGGCAGGGATGAACAATTATCACTTATAACACTTCTTTCATCATTTTATTTTTAACTTGTTCCTAATTTTGATGCTTTGGTGTGCGAAGTCAAGCTCACATTATCGAAATAACCCGTGTGTGCTGCCAAGTTGCTTATCAGTGAGTCTGAGTGTTTTAATCCTCCATATTTGAACGCAACTTCATGTATCAAATAAGTCAGAATGCTCTTACCTGTTTGAGCCTCCGACCCAGACAAGAAAATCCCTATAGTCATGTAGAAGCAGTTCGTTGTCCTGGCCAGAAACAGCGTAGCTCAGCAGTACTCCTTCGTTACTTGCAGTGGTTTTCATCCATAAACAAACTGTCATGGCATTTAGCCTTGGCATACCTCCAGAGATAACATAGTCGCTCGTTCCTTTTCCCGGGAAATACAGAGCATAGGCATTGCCTGGCGCCAATGAGGTCAAAGGAAAATAAAATTTTAAGGTTCTTCATTATCTTCTGAAGAATGGATACAAAACTGCATGATAACTCAAAAAACGACTGAGTAAAGAAATTACTGAATTAATTATATAAAACAGCTGTCTGTTGTTTACCAAGAGAATATCTTACCATATGCACAAGTAGGCTGCTCTCCTGTCCATGATCCATTACCCAAGCAGTGACGTTCTGATGATCCTCTAAGCAAGTAACCTTGCTGACAACTGAATGAAATACGTTCCCCTTCCCAGTTTTGCTGTCCGTGAGTGAAGCCATTTTCCAGTTTTTTCAATGGAGGACATACTCTTTGACCTATATTGACCAAAAACCAAAAATGAAATAACCAACTTAACCAAAACAGGGCCCTAAATTATACCATTATTGAGTGGTTTTAGACAGCTTGTAACTAGAATTCTGTAAAATGACAGATAGTGTACAGAAGCTGCACTTACATGAAGGTTGTATTCCACTCCACTGACTAGATGGAAGACAAAGTCTCATAGACGGCCCAATGAGTCGATATCCTGGCATGCATGTGAAAGACACAGATTCCCCTGTCCAATAGTGCGAGCCATGTTTTTGTCCATTGAGTGGAGAACCAGGATTGCCACAATTGATTAAATCTGAAAAAGACAAAGTAGAATCGTTAACTTAATCTCAGGGCAATGTGAAACCTTACAGAAAGGTGATCCGACTACCAAACTTCCTACACTGGAGAACTGAACCTAAACATGTAAAAACCTTTTTACATGCAAGCCAGCGACAAGAAACGGTAATTTTGACTATTAATTGCCATTTATATTGGTGTATATATCATATTTCCTGTTCAAATATTTTATATACTTACCTAAAACTGTACTAGCTTCGGCTGTAGCATTCTTATCATTATAGAATAGACATGTGAAGTTTCCAGCATCGTTCGGCTTGAACTGATGAATGACAAGCTCACTCCTTATCAAACCATTGCTGTGGTGTTCTGCTGTTGATTTTACTCGTCGTCCGTCCTTGATCCATTGGATTTTCGGTAAAGGAGTACCACCAGCGGAGCAACTTAAGTTAACAGATTCGCCAATACGCTGCACCTGTATTTTACTTACAGGGCTCGAAACAATGTAAGGATTCACTAGCACAGATAAACGTAGTAAGAACTGGCTGTTGGACTAATATTGAACTAAATGGCAAAATAGGACTTCAGCCTACTTTGGCAAAATTAAATGACTGAAGCAATTGTAAGCTGTTTAATAAATAACAAAGGTAATAATAATAATGATGATGATGATGATGATGATGATGATGATGATGATGATGATGATAATGATGACAATGAAGATCAGGATAATAATAATGATAATAATAATAATAATAATAATAATAATACTAATAATGATAATAATAATCATCATGATAATAATCCTGTTGTTTCCAACTGTGGATACTTTTCATCTGAATATCTTGGAATGCTTAATAGGCTCAGGGATGTGATCTGCTGATCTGACGTAGCCACATGTAAAAGTACTTTTAAAGACAATGATGTTTTGTCCTTCTTTAGGTTATTTACTAACCTGGATCTTTAACCACAACCCATATCACACCTATCACACTTTGTAACGGATTCACCCCTTGGCAAATGTAGTTTCCAAACTCATCTTTTGTCGTGTTGCGAATTGTCAGCTTGTTGCCAGAAATGACATGCCTGCTGACAGGGAGTTCACCGTGCGTTCTTTTCCATGTTACCACGGGGGTAGGGTGGCCAAATATGTCGCATTTTAGAGTAAAGTCCCGTGCTGTGTAAGCTGTCACAGATATCTCTGGTTTAATTACGAATTTTGTTGGTACTAGTGCAGAGAAATTAAACGCAAGAAAGTTAATACATGTAGATATTTTGTAACATCTTACTATTAGAATCACTTAGACAAACAGACAAACAAATAAAATAAAACAAATACCTTAAAAATATACCCCCCAAAAATGCTCCATATTTTGAAATAGAAGTAATTGGGAGACGATTTTCACTCATTTTTTTTTACCCACTTTGGTTTTTTTAGTTCTAAGTAATATCTATTATGGAGACTGTTCAATCACTGTTGAGTAACTTGACAAGCAATGAGACCGAGATGAGGCGAACCAACCCGTATCGAGGACTGACAACAGTCGGATCATTGGACGTTGAACGAAGACAACGGTAATGTAAGCTAATGAACTGAAATGTAAATTCATTTAACAAACCTTGTACTGTGATATTTGCGGTTATTTTTTCTCTACCCAAAATATTCTCTGCGGTGCAGGTATAGAGACCACGATCTTCAAAAAGGATATTTCTAAATTCCAGGTGTCCTTCTTCAAATTGCTTCCTCTCGTGCTCGATCACTCGTCCGTTTTTATACCACGTTATTATGGGCTTTGGAAACCCAGCTGCCTTACAAGACAATATCACATTTTGATTCTCTCTAACCGTCAAAGAGGAAGGTTTTGTAGTGAAATGTGGTTTTTCTGAAAATGGGAAATACGATTTTTTATTCCAAGTTCATTCAAAGATCATTCTTTTACGCTATAGAACTTCTCAGAGCTGGCGCAATAATTACTAACACAAAAAAGTTTATAGCATCAAATTTGAAAGTACATTTCCACTTGTGGAAGAATAATGCTTATATTTTGTGTTTAACTTCATGTACAGTTTTATGGAGCAGACATCAACACGTTGAAGTGTTTGGTTTTGTCTTCAAGAGACACCAATGCACCAACGACTGGAGAGAGTCGTGCCCAATAACAGGAGCTAGTCACAACGATGGGATGTCAACAAAACTTCCATTCTAGGAAAATTTATTAATATCAACTGAGCTGATGACGTAAACTGACCACCGTTAGGAGTTTCAAAGCCGACGTTTCGAGCGTTAGCCCTTCGCCATTTGATCTGATCGAAACTTCAGCTTTGAAATTCTTATGGTGGTCAATTTACGTTATCAGGTCAGTTGATACTACTTAATTACCTTTTTATTCTCTTCCACCGACGTAGCACCACAGTTTCTTTGGAAACTTACCCCCCTTATTCAACTTCCATTCTAACCAGGCGTGCCCGCCGGCCCTTTCTAATCCCCATTGCACTAAAGTACTCATCATTGCTATGACTGTTATATCAATTTTTTATTTTTCCATATTGTATTTCTAGTGGATTTCATAATGTATTTTTAATGTATTTCAAGCTTACATAGATATGGATGCATATTGTAAGATTGCAGAGTACTCAGAAAGCAAGAGTCGCTTCGTCCTATGCTTCCGTTCGTACCAATTCCTAAATAACACCAATCCGTATCACAGCAAACTTAAGACTGAATGACGCTAAAAATACGAAAATCTTACCTAACTGCCGCACATTACTTCCCCTTTTTGAATCTGTTGATTTTCCGGGGGGTCCTGGTAGTCCTTTGATTCCACGCTTCCCTTGGGGACCCGGTGGCCCCTTTTTTCCTTTTCTTCCTTTTCTACCGGGAGGTCCCTGGGGACCTGCTGGTCCACGAGAGCCTGGTGGACCTTGAGGTCCAGTGCGACCTGATAAAATCAAAGTATTGTGACGATTGGAGTAATGTGAACGTGTAGATTTGCTACAATTTGTTCAATATGTGTGACAGGCGGTGTAAGCAGCACAGCAGTTTTCTGTTTCAGTGTGCTTATCTTCAGTGTGCTTATCTTTATTACACCGCTTTGATTACCTTGCACCGTGTTGCTATGGATTCTTGAGCGAATTTGTGACACGCGCTGACGTTATTCAGCTCTGTACCGTAAGGAGTCATAATCTCGACCGCTTTCTTGCGGCGAGATTCAGGAACGTGTTGACTACGAGCAGGCCGTCACTAGTTCGCGCCACAGTATGAGCGTTTCTTTACCCGAGATAAAGTTTGAGGTCTGGAGAAAAGCGATCAGTGCCAGAGCTCGCGTCACAAGCCTCTCGCTGGCTCGCTTTGATTAAGGCCTTATGACGTCTCGATGGCAAAGAAATGCTTAAGTCTCAGGGTTAATAATGAGGGGCTACTCGCAGACTACAGCCACATTATGATTATACCTTCAATGCAAACGATCTTCTCTTGACCTTTATCCAGTGTCTTATTCTGTTGATCATAAAAAATATGGGCTCTTGGCAAAATACAAGGCTGGAAACTTCTTCGGAATCTGTGTCTAGCTCATGAAAAATCACTACGTCAAAAGCCGTGCTAGTGTAGATGTCATTTTAGCTGGTTTCTTTGAGGTCTGCTGATATCACATGATAATATGATACGATCATATCAACGTGTGATGAGGAAAATAATTAACAGTATGAGGAAAATAATATAACAGTATGAGGAAAATAATTAACCTTAAAGTGACATGTTGTTTGTGCGGTGAGCTTATAAGCTAAAAATAAATGAAAACGTTGTGACCAATAATAGTACTGAACAATAACTCACATTTTGTTGTGTATTCGAGTTGGAACAAACCGTTCTACACTTGCTACAGATAGAAGGACTTGAAATATCTCTTTTGACGATTTGGTCCGTCGTCTTCCATCCACTTCCAGGCGCGTTCTCAGAGGTAATTTTAATAGTCGCACCATTTGCGTGTTGATATGGAGTACTTTTCAGCATCAAATTTTGCTCAATAGCTGTTAGACGACTGTCCAGTCGGTTCAATGAGTAACACGTAAAACCAAGTGAGCCCAGGGTGAGAATCAAATGGAAAGAAAAGCCATAAAGGAGAACGTTCGAATGCTTGACAATTTTGGTCTCCATGTTTGGCAATATCTCTTGTGATCAGTGAAACAGAAACCTTGTTGACTTCCGCTCTGAGTTTCTGCCAGCAGTTATGTTGATACATAATGCTGACCTCTTTGCTCTATACCTATTCAAATTACGTATTTGTTTTGATATCCCGCGAAGCTTTCTGTAGTATCTGGGACATTCAGTCTTAGAGACACCGCCCAGATGTTCAAATGCTGGAACAATCAGGCACGAAGTTACCATGTTAATATCTCGTATTTACAACGACTGTTTCCCCATTAAAAGATAACTCTAATATCTCAGGCGGTGTAACATTTCTGTAAGATATTTTAGAACAGAAAATGGATATTACGATCAGAGAGTGAACCTTCAACGTCGGCAATTTTTTAGGAGCCATTACTTCGCTCCTGCTCTTATTTGGTAATGGTAATGCAGGGTAAGCTGTACAAAGTCATAAAGGTCGGTCTGGTCAAAACTCTCTACCCCCCCTCCCCCCTTCTCGTGTTAAGATGAAGTTATGTAAACACTGCCGTTGAAAATCCTCTATCGCTCGACCAAAATTGGTTGTCAAGATTGTAACCTTCATTTCAAAGATTCATTTAGCCTACTATACAAAATGTCATTGTGTATTAAATATGTTGGCTTAGCGTTCCTAATAACGCTCTTTTTGCTTTTAATTTTTTCTTTTCGCGGGAGCTACCTCTACTTATAGTCTCTGGTAATTGTAAATTTCCATTATTCAAAAAACAAATTAGGGATAAATTATGTGTGCGAACGTATTATCTTTGTTATTCCCATTTTCTTGCGGCTTGAAACTCGTGTAAATTAGTTCTAAAAATCCGATCTGCTCACCCGTAAAATAAGTCACTAATTGAACAAAGCTTCGTTTTAAAATTTGTGCGAATTAGTCTAGACGTTACTAATTTGCACTGTCCAAATTAATAATAAAATGAGCTGCGTTTAGCCAACAAAAATGGATTTATTTTTCAATCAAAACGTGGTGAGCCCAATTGATGGACTCCTTAAATTTCCTAGGATCAGTTTAGAATTCGGAAACTTTAAGCGACGCGCTAATCGATCGGAAATGCAGCCCACGTTATGAACTTATCTGACAGACTAACTTTCCGGAGGAATTCCTTTTTAGATTTTATTTCTGAATATTTGATCTTTAAAAGAATCGAGGATTCAGTAGAAATATGATGAAATTATGCTTGAAAGTTTTCACTTTTGCCCAATTTTTCTGCATTTTTTTTAGGTACAAAAAGTAATTTGCTGTGTTGATCTATTAAGAGACATCATTTCGCTTGTTCATCCGCAATTGCCGGATGAAATAAAAAAGCTGAAGGGTTGTCATAAATGAAAATCGTTTTCCTCTATGACTTAAAATATTGTAGAAACATCTTCCAGTTCACCAGAAAGGTACGTTGTATGAAATAATTGCGAAAACATTCGATCTCAGTGCTGTTCGAAAGTTTTTGACTTAAAATGGCTAAGGCACCCAAGTTTGTGAAATTTCTATGCTAATGATCAACTAGCCATTGCAATGAACTAAAATGTAACATAAATGGCATAAACCGACGAAGGAAACGAAACAGACTGTGAGGAGCCTAGCTAATAATGTTAGAAGGCTCAAAATTACATATAGTGAGGAAGGATTGAGCCAGGTATCACGTAGGTCTAACTTTTTTGTGTTGTCTTAATAAGGCACCTTTTTTTCATTTTGAGGTGATTGGGTCAATACTTAAATTGCTTTGCGAGTAATCATCGATAATAAAGAAACGAATATTTTCGTATTGCTCTTTTGTTGGGTTATAGAAAGTGGACGCAGATAAACACCTCTCGGCATCAGTAAGTGTATCAGTTGCCTGGTACTAAGGTGGAAGAATTACTTTAAACTTGCCAATAACCTGCGATTATCTGAAATTACACCGAAAGTGCAAATTAGTTCTCAGTAAAGCATCTCAGTGTTTCATGTGGCAGTAATTTAGAGCTAAGCAAATCGCTATGTCCAAGCTCCTTAAATGGGATTTGATAGGCATCTCAGAGTTGTAAAACCGTTTGACATCAGTTCATACGTGTCATCGAACGGTGTAAGCCTTCATAGAAGCGAAAAAAACTCTAGAACAACCGATTTTTCTTATCCTTTAGGTCATTTTTTCGTTGAAAATCATTGGGAATTAAATGGCTGCCAACACTACCCACAGAAACCACAATATCACAGGCGAAGACGACGAGATGCCAGTTCCTGCCTCCCACTGTATTCCATGGCTTTTTGTGCACATCACTGAATGTCTGGCCATAGCCATCTTTAATATAATCACCATTATTGTATTTGTGAAACAGCGCAAGCAGCTACAGCGCCGAAGTACATACTTGATCATCCATCTAGCGGTAGTCGATCTCTTGGCCGGGGCAGTCTCAGGGCCTCTTCAGATTGAATTGAGAATGGCAGAGTTTTGTCAATTGTGGAATTTTAATTTTGATATTTCTTTACTTCGCTTAAAAGCCGCGTTAGGATTTTTTCCCGTTGCATCGCTCATCAATCTCGCTGTTATTTCTTTGGAGCGACTGCACGCAACATTTTGTCCATTTAACCATCGTTTTATGGCAAATTGGGTTTATGGAGCAAGTATCATTGTCTTCTGGGTCATTATAGCAAGCATGCAAGCAACTGAACAACTGATCGTTTCAAACGACCTAAGCTACTACATCTTTTATTTTTTATGTTTCTTCATTCCTCTCTTCACCATTTTAATTTCTTATGCCAGTATCTTTTTCAAAGTCCGCTACAGTCGTCATCTTCAACATCTCGGGGCAGCTGTCCAGAGGGATAGAAAACTAACCAGAACCTTATTTCTTGTCACTCTCGGATCATTGTTCACTTGGTTACCACTGATAACATACCAATTTCTACTCATTTTTCATCCTGAGTTACACATAACTTTCGAGTCAGAATTCCATGTTGATATGTTATGGCAGACTATTTTGCTTTCGAATTCGTTGATCAATCCTATAATCTACGCCATGCGGATGCCAGAGTTAAGGGCAAGCATATTGCAATATTTCCGAAGGAACTCAAACCACGTTAACCCGCTTGATTTGCCACTGCATGATATTTAATTCGCCGTTTGATCTTTAATTTCCCTGTTACCATAGAGCAAGCCGCTAAATCTTGTCATCGTTCCACATCCGCTGGAAAAGACTGATTACAATACGTGTGCAACAAAATCAGTTTGAAATGTTTCATGTGTAATTTCTCAATGCAGTATAATTTTCCCGCCAATAACATTGCCATTAAAGCAAAGGGTGAAAGGTTTCGTCTGTTTAGTACGAATGGGGAACAACCGTCGTTAAGTAATGCATTCTTTAAACAATTGACGGTTCAGGCAGGCACAAGGCAAAAGGAACGATTGCAATGGACTATTCATAGTGAAGGACTGGATCCGAGGTCGACGAAAACGATTTCATACTACCTAAATCTATAATCAATTAACTTGAAGAATTGGTCCAGCTTCATTTTCTCACTCAAAAAGTTGATCATGTGAGATACATAATTTAGGTATTAGACGCAAGTCTCTTTGCTCTACGCATGTAACAGAGGTATGAAATTAAGTTCTTCAGTTGTTTTATAAGCAAAACAAATCCTCACTTACATTAACACATCAATATTTACGTATAATTTTATCCCAGCTTCTTCTATCTTAAAACTACGCGTCGTGTTATGACTAAATAAATGTAAAGCCAATACATACGAAGCTTTGGCTCTATCGGCTCATAACTGTTTTCTTAATACGCATAGAAGTAACAAATTAGAAGTCTATGTAGTTGGTTCAGCCTATTTCGTCTAACGTTTCGACCGACATTAACCAAAAACTTTTAAGTCTTATTTGACAAAGTAGCTCCAAAATTCTCTGATGATACTCTGATCTATGATAGTCTGAGCATATGCCTGTCTATGTAGAGTTATGGATTGCTTTGATTCAAGTATGCTAATGTATTTACAGTATACCAAATCCTCCCCCCCCCCCTTAAACTACTTTCTACCCGCATGTAAACTTCTGTCATTACGCAATGGATAATATAAATGACGAAAAATCATTTAAATTTTGATTACGCCCCAGTCTTTTCGAACTGAGCAATATTTACGACTGTCTTACAATACCATTATATGTCGATATTCATAATTATTTAACATCGTTTCATGATCTGTTTTTTTGTTGTTGTTGTTGTTTCTTTTAATATGACCGAAGTCGAGAGCGCTTCTTAGTAAGCTCGATTTAGAACACAAAAGTTAGTGTCCCTGACTGCTCATAAACCCGACCAGTAAGAGGATAGCGTGCACGCCACAGATTAACCACTTGACAAAAGACGGTCTACCGTATTGGCAAAATCAATTCTCAGAACGAGGCTCTGCCAGTAGCATGAAATTAACGTTACAACTACCCCGTACAAACGAGCTTAAATATGGAGTCGTTTTGAATCCGGTACTTTGAGCCTCTATCTGTCTTTGGGCTTCTATGTACTGCAATAACAACATAATTTTTCCAATGTAAGTGCCAAACATTACTGGTTATTACTTTCTTGAGAAAAGGGCTTAATAGAAGAACGGATAAGATTAAATGCCGATCCTTCTATAGTCTCATTAGCACACCAGAAAAAAACTAAACAACAACAACTAAACAACGGCTGCGAGGGAGATTCCTCCTTCTACCATGGAGGTAAAAGACACTCAACTTAAGAATCAAATTGACTCTTCCCCTCTAAAAAGCAATATTGTCAAAATGTTGTGCTTTCTGTGCACTTTATCGAGGTCTTGTAATTGTTGGGCATCGTTACAGAGAAGAAGAAGGGCTTAACGACCGCATTTTAAAATCATTGGAAACCTGAACAAGATTTGAAAAGCGGATATGTTCTCTTCCCACATGAAAGTCCCTCTTCAGAGAAGAAACCACGAGACGGTTGTGCAGAAACTTATTTTGAACTTAAAGCTCTAAAATAATTAAGACAACTGCTCTGTTCTTGTGTGCATATTCTTTTAAGCTTCTTGTAATTTTCTCGGAGTTACACAATAAATTACAAAAGGGCGTGGGGGAGGGGGGGCGCGATGACAAGGGCCATCTATTTTTTCTAAGGATCTCAGGGATAATCTCTTACCTGCTTGAGCCTGGTGGGCTTGTCCCAGCCACTGGGGAAAGTGGATACCTCTCAACTCTGCAGCCTAAAGTCACAAACACAAAGCGGAAAGAGAAAGGTAAACATGTTGGCAAATCGTGAGCCTGGTCTTTGAAAATGAGGATTTGAACCTAAGACCTTTCGTTTAGCGGTAGCAGACACGACCAAATGAGCAACGACGAATTGAGCTAGGCTACGCACTCGCCTCGTACATGACAAGCTCTCTATATACCGCTACAATCCTGGACCAAAGTTGTTTGGAAACCGTTAATATTGTGTCCAAACGTATGCTGTAAAAACTGCTCTCAGAGTTCCAAACTCTCCATGCCTTCTCTCCCTCCCCCCACCCCTTCCTCCCTAATTCAAAAAAAGACGGCAGCTTTCCCGAATGTTGCCAGGACTTTTATGAACATCGCAAAGAGGGAGTAGGGTACTGTTGATCACATGCTGAGAAAATTTGCTCATTTTAAACATTTTTTGTCGTTATTTTCCAGAATTTTTCGAAGATTGTAGGATCAGTAATGTGGAAGTAAGGATTAAACGTTTCGCTGATTAAATCGTCTATCAAAATGAAAATACATTGATTTAATTAGCTCACCAAACGATGCAACACTTTTTTTCAACTCACCATAAGCAATCGGCGTCAGTTTGAAGACTGTGTGAAAAGGAATGTGAAGATTTGGCAGTTCTCCTAAAGAGAGAATACTAAAGTTATCCCTTTTGTCTGTATGATTCATTCTTTTTGCAATAATCTAAAAAATAGCGACTGCGTAGCTCCAGCAGCACCGATAAAGAAGCTAAATTTGATTGTAACAGTATGTTGAAAAGCCTACCTGAGCTGTGGTCCAGAAAGTATGCCATGAGACACTGCAGGATAGCCTATATGAGGAACAAAGTAAAGAGCGACCGTGTCACCACAACATGATTCATTTTTCTTTGGTTTGTTTGTTTTCTATCATCTCCTCAAGAAAAACAAGCAAATAAAGGATACAGAAGAAAAGCTAATAAATAACTAACAAGCAAACGAAGAGACAACTACTTATTACTTAAGTTTTTTTGGTTTAGTTCGTGTTATAATTATAATGTTCAACTTTTAAAGCATTTTAAAGAAAAACCCAGGAAGTAGGATCAAAATGGCACTTTTCATGTAACTTTCTAGAATTAATAGAGTAGCACAGTTCAATTTTCTTGTGCAGTAATTCATTTTCCACATGAAAGTCCCTCTTCAGAGAAGGAACCATGAGATGGTTGTGCAGAAACTAATAAGGAACTTAAACCTCTAAAATAATTAAGACAACTGCTCTGTTTTTGTGTGCATATTCTATTTGGCTTCTTGTCATTTCTTCGGAGTTATCGCAATGAATTACAAAAGATGAGAGCAGAGCAGAGCAGTCTGTCAAATAAAGCAAACGAATTGGGGAAAAAAAAAACTTACCTCGTGGCAAATGACCAAGACATTGGATTGTCTTTCTAATTCCTAAAGTAAAAGAGAAGACACAGTACAACGAATTAACATCGCTTCAAGGTCGTGGGCAAGTCGTAAATGTTCTTGATTGTCAACTTACCATTATTACTGGTTCGAGTCGAGCGCACACGTCACTATAAGACTAAAAGAGAACAAAGAAAATGTCAAGATTTTAGAATTTCATTGATTGACTTAGATCATTCGTTTGTGTAATTTCAGTGAGAGCCATGGATTAATCGGTGTTTCTAAAACTGTCGAGTGCTCTCTGATATAAATAAAACCTATCATCAGTGTTCTCCTTTTCAGGCAGTAACCGGTAACATTTACCACCTGTAGTACCTCTTATTACCATCTAAAATTGCTTGGAATTCTTGAAAATTCAACAAGTAAAAGGATTGCTTTACCGGTTTGAAAATTTATTTTACCTGTCATGCTTAAAATAAGGGAGAACACTGCTATCATTACTGTAAAATCAACGAGGAAGACAAACTTGAAAAACTTGATTCGACCTGAACAAAGGTAAATGTCACATTGTGAGGGGGAGGGAGGGGGGAAGAAATTTGTAACGGAAAGGACGCATTACCTCTCCCCTGGGGTATCGATAATTGAACGGGTGTTCTTCTATAACTTTGTGTTCTTCAGGGTCCATCTTTTTTATCTCATCCAGAGTCATTCCATCATAGATGCCCTGATATCGAATAAAAAAAAAAGAAACAAGACAAATAGAAAACAAAAAAACAAACAAAATTAGTCAATATATTTTCTTTATCAATAATTTGATTATTTAATCAAATAAACGTCTGAAAAATGAAATGACAGAACAAGTCAAATCAAACAGCAAAATTTGTCACATACATGTTTGGAAACAACTACTGAACTGACCAATCAGATTAATGGACTAGATATCGGTTTCACTATCTGACATTTTTTTCCAAGATTCAGCCTCGGGAACATTACACAATAGCCCTGTTGTGAATGATAAACTCGCATGGCTTACTACGATTTCTTGAGGCAGGAAACCAACGTTAGAAAAGCACACAAAATACCATCATTACAAAACATTTTTTGGCACAACTACAAGGAACGACTTACGTGGTCCATTTCATTAAGTGCCTTCCATCTCTCAGTTGTCACTCCCTTGAGATACTGAGCAGTGTCCACTGCCCTTTTTAACTGACTTGTCCAAACCTAAAATTAATGCAACCAAGTTAAAAAAAAGGGAAAAAAAGTTATTCCCCCGTTATTGACAACAGTTAGGTTAAGGATTACTCTCGCCGGACGATGAGACTACACGAACAAAGGTTCAACCACTTTACCATTGAATTTGTTCAACGACAGAGGGCAACTAAATAATCTTGTGAGCCGTTTATTTTTGTTCGATAACAAGAAAAAAAACCTAAGAGAGCCAGATAAATTTTTAATTTCCAGATACTCGTTACATAACGTTTCTGCAAACCTTTAAATCTTTGATTTTTTCATCTTCGATAAATTTCGCCAGAGCTGATGAAAACTGTAGGAAATAAAGAGACGAGAATGCTGTTGAGCGTAGTTCATTCATTGGTGTTGCAAAGTCAAGTCAAAGATTTGCTGATAGTCCCGAATTTCATGAAAATTGACCCTTGAAGCTCGAAAACTTCAAGTATCAAGAATCGGGTTTCGACTGGCAATAAGGACGGCTAAGAAACGTACAAAGTTTTAAAACGCACGTGCAAGGCCACTGTTCTGATCTTTTGTTTTGCCACGTCCTCGTTGCAGTCGCCGTCGCCGTCGTGTTCTTGCTTAAGGTCTGTAATACCTCAATTACAAAATCAGTGTTAATGACAGCGACATACCTCCTCTCCTTTGGCTGTCAGATCAGAATCGCCCCCAAGTCTCTTTTGAACATTAAATTCACTCTCACCATGCTACAATGAACCCAAACAATTTTGAGGACTTGCATATCAAAATACTGAGATATAATTATTTTCAAAATAATTAAACAATAGTATTTGTGAGGTTTATGAAATATTCGGTTTTCTTTCTCCTTGCCACAAAAAAAGGGGACAAGTTTAAGACCCTCATCTCGTACTTAAAACGTAAATATTAACTTCTTAAAAACCGAGCACGAGGGCCGTACAAAAACGACCGAGGGCCAATATTTCTCAGTACTGCTCGGGCAAGTAAGGTTAGTAAGTAACTTATTATATGGCACTAGTTAATTGGAATTTTCCGGCTTTCAAGAACAAAAATACACAGCCCATAACCGTTTCCGTAGAAATCGTCCATATGGCAAAATCCCTACCAAGTAAAAACCAATGAGATCGCTCGGATTTACCGCAACACTACCTTACCATAGAATAAATGGGACGTATTCATACTATGTATTAAATATAAAGTATTCCTCAGGATTTGGCTTGTTTTTACCCCCAAAATCCCTATCAATACCAGGCTAGTTGCTTGGAAAATTTATACAAAATACACATGTCGCCAAAGTAGGTTTACTCCGTTACACCCGTATTTGCGCTATGAGTGAATCATTCCTCTCGGTCTCAGTCTGGAGGAAATGGGGAAAAAAACTCACCCTAGCAAGATATATTGACCTCTTCTTGATGTGGGAGTTCATCAAAAAATAGACTGCTCTGCTTTGAAGGTAACCTACCGAACAATATTCAACCAATAAACATGTAACTGTTTACTCTGCATAACCTTTATTTTTGACATATTACTTACCACGTTTTTATCTTCATGAAGCAAGTCATGCAAACTCTAAAAACTATTCCAAAATTAGCTTTAATCAATTCATATTGAACTTCTGTATTTCATCATATTTCATTTCCGAGACTTACCATCAATGCTGTTTACTATGTACTGTTCTCCTGCATTGATGATCTTGATGAATGAAAGATGCCTTTTAAATAGAAAAATACGTAGAGAAATAAATACATGTATAAATTAATCTATCAGCTATGTCAAAATTGACTCTTGCTGTTTTTGTTTGTTTTTTTTGTTTTGCTTTGTTTTGCTTTTTTTTTTCTTTTTTGGGGGGGAAGAGGAGAGGGTATCATAAATTGTACAAGTAGACCGTCACTTCCTCGTCAAATGCCGAGAAGCAAGGATAGGTGTGAGGAGGACAAATGGGATGAGAAAGGTGAGAAAAAAAATAAAATAAGGATGAAAGCAAGAAGATGCGTTAGGAGAAGATTGGACACAAGAATGGATTATGAATGGGAGAGTGCGGGAGAGTACATATTGAAAGGAAACTGATGGATAGTATAATTTACGCAGGAACTGCCAAGAGAGAAGGGAGAAACTGAACCACAGTGAGAGGACGATAAATTAAAAGGACGGTAAGAGGGGAGAAAAGAAAGGTCAGAGCATTAACCAACCCAATTACCCTTGAATCACACATTAAGGTCACGAGATAAAAGGAAATGATCACCAACTAAAGAAGCTCTTGATTGTTAAACAAATTCTTCTTGTCAGCACTTTAGTAAATGTATAGAGAACAGTATGGAGAATATAAAATACTGAGATTAGGGACTGAAGGGTAAACAGATTATGTAAAGGGTTTTTCCAGTTTGAACTATTGCTTTTGTTTGTTTGTCTGTCTGTTTGTTTGTTTGTTTTAACCAGAATTAACAGAATTGTTTTAACTCACCCCTCTTTTTCTAATGAAAGTGGTTCATATGCATCCTCGTAGTGCTTGATACGCTTCCTGAAATCTTTAACGGCTGTATCTCGATCCACAGTCACATAGTCTGGGCTGAAAACTTTAACTTCCTGTGGAGGTAAAGTTGAAGCTGGAGAATCTACCCATACCTCCCATGTTTTAAACTCCTCATTACTGAGAAATTCATGTCCCATCACCTGTAAATAAAAATACAAAAAGCAAATTCAGCACGATCTAGTTTAGGAAGTTAAAAACCTTGATGGAAAAGAAAAATAAAAGGAAAGACAAGAAAGCCTAGAAATGTAAACGGAGTTTGAAGAAATTGCGTGCGCCAAGGTCCTTTGTCTTTTATATATAGAAACAAAGCACTAGCCTGTGATGAAAAATATTAAAGGTACTTGGAATTCAATTAACATTGTCAAATCTTACATGTACTTTAGGGTCGAGTAAACTATCCGCGCACATCTTAAACAGACATACAGAACGGTCAATGCAGTTTACCAGTAAATAATGAAAGCAAGAAGAACAGAGAAATCTTAAAGGAAGGAAATGGAATAAATAAAAATGAATGAATGAATGAATGAGTGATCAAACAGGTGGATGCAAGGACAAAGATTGCTTCTCTTCATTAATTTTCTGGTCAGTTGGTTTTGTGTTCAGAGGAACAACTGCACGAACAAACGCACCAAATGAACACAAAAACAAATTATTAAACGAAAAGTCAAACACAAATACAATGGAGGAATAAAAGCATTTTTAAGTACATTACACAACATGAAGAACCTGTCTCTTTCAAAACATGACAATCTGGTTTATTACTGTAGTTGATAAAGTTAATTGGCCACCGTAAACAGTTTCAAAGTCGACGTTTCGAGCGTTAGCCCTTCGACGTAGCGAAACATTAATTCTACATGTTTTCTAGTCGTAGTCATACTTAGTAACTCATACACTGACAAGCCCTATTGACCACAAGTCTTGACCAAGGTTGACCACAGTCAATTTTGTGCCATTTAACATTCATGGTTCCACCATTGCCAAACCATGGTTGTTGACCATGGAGCACCATGGAAAGACCACGGTTGACCATGGTCTATCAATAGCTTTGACACCAGGGTATTGCTTAATGATAACTAATTCCTATACCCTGTGACTAAGTGCATCAGGTTTAAATGTTCTTTAGATTTTAATTCTCCTGGCTGGTAAAGTTTGTTGCTTGCAATTAAATGAGACATGCCATAAAAAAATGTTTGACTCAACAAGGAAAAACAAATATAATTGGTAATAAGACAAAGAACTTTCAACACTGTGATTTACATGTGAATTACAAGAACAAAAGTCAAATTATTGCCTTTACAACATTGATTTTGGGTCTGCATTGTTCACATACATACATAAATTACCCTAGCACTATAATTCTATGTGCTAGGGCAGATCTAATGGAACAAGCCATGTGAAGGGAACAGAGATGGGAAAAAACTGAGGTACAGAGCTGTGGCTACAGCATGATAGCTTAAAGAAAGTTGTATTGAATTTATCTTTTCATTAAAATTATTTAATCTGTATAAAAATAATGCAATTTGCACAAAAAAAAAACAAACCTTAATATTTGCAGCGACAATATCTGAATCTTCACAAATGGATTCCATGAAAAAAACCTCAAAAATAAATAAAAATATCATTCAGTTGATGAAGCTGACATACAACTCCACCATCATAAAATACTGTGGTGAACCAAAATACAGAGTATAGACAGCTGACTACACAATACTCAGAGCGATAAAATCATGCATACTGCCAATGGTAACATGTACATGTGTATGTTACCAATGGTCACACTGACAAAACCTGTCCTGAGTTATGGAAGCTGTGTAAGCTTCATTACTGTGGCCTAGCTTTAGTGGCATGTTTGTTACCTTGAATCCTCTTTTTGTGCAAAAGTCCATGATTAAGGCCCTTCGCTCAAATGTTGTATTTGTAGCATCAAATATCTGGTTAAAATCAAAAGACAGAATGATGAAATATTGGTATAACATTATCAATAATATTTGAAATATATTCATAGACAAGTTCCATGGTATAAACAATTTGTTCTATGATAAACAGAAGATACTTACTGCAACTTGTCCAGCACAAGTTAAAAACTTGCTGACATCTTCCAAGCAAGCTATAGCACATTGTCTGTGGGAAAATAACAAGTTTTCAAATTGCTTTCAACGGTGGAACTCAGAAAGCAGTGAACAACAGAAAACTTCTGACAGTGATTGCCTTGCTTAGGTATGCCAATCAAGCAATGTAAATTACTGTGCACAGTGATGCTAAACATTTTCTGTCTTTGGGGTTTACTAACACATCCCAATATCCCATTATCAAGGTGATCACATTCAGTCTCTTGAGTTTGATGGTAAAACATAAAATAATCATTTAAACAATTATTACACCCTCAATCAGTAAGTTTATCTCCTTTCTCATCACCTGTCTGATGGAAAATGCACCATAATTGTAAGAAAAAGTTAAACAGGTTTATGGAATTATCATGCAAAATTATTTTGTGCCAGTTAATTTGAGCCACTTGTTTTGTTACTAATAAATTAATGCTGATTTCTTTGTTCCAGTCTTAGTACTGGTGTAATGAAAAGCTGTGGCAAAACTTATGCTGTTGTACAGTACACATGTCAGGATCTAACAATTGATGATTGCCCTTTGGCAGTGAATGTATGTGTTCACTAGCCTAGTTGGCCTCCTTTACAAATGTATATTTACTTATTACACCAATGCACACACCTCCTGACTTTTTGTGCTTCGGCATTGTCCACACGGAAAAAGTCATGTAGTTTATCAGACCCCACTGCCCTTCTTCTGTACTCACCAACATTGAACACTAAATAAAGAAAAAGAAAGCATCTATTTGCAAGTCCTTTTAACAAACTTTCTGTAACTTATTGCCTTAGTATGATATACCAGTGTTCTCCCTTATTTTAAGCATGACAGGTAAAATAAATTTTCACACCCATAAAGCAATCCTTTTACATGTTGAATTTTCAAGAATTCCAAGCAATGTTAACCAGTAAAAAGAGGTGCTACAGGCGGTAAATGTTACTGGTTACTGCCTGAAAAGGAGAACACTGTATACCACAAGTGAATGTCAAAATTTTTACTTAAATTTGAATATTACAATCATACTGTCATGCAATACATATACATGTATTAAACAACTACCACTGGTTAAACATGTAAAGGGCTATTCATCATAATATTTATTTACTTTATTAGTATAATTGCTGTGGTGATTATAGAGATGTGTTCACTCTGATTGGTTGAGGATTGTGTCATATCTTGCTATAATCACCTTGTGCAAGGTGATCAATTGTCATAGAACAGTCCACAAAAACAAAGAATTTACAATTAAATTCAAAATCTCTTGAGTAAGCAATTATACTAAATTCAATAATGTTTGGCAAATATTGTTGAATAATCTCCTTGACTTTGTCTCAAGGATTATTCAACAATGTTCACTTTGCCTTAAGCAAATAATTGTTAAAAAAGTAGGAGAAAAGACAACTAAATAAACAGTGTGCTAGACTACAAGTCAAAGTCCTGGCACAATCACTGCTGAGCAGTGGAGAGAATGTGCTGGGTGAAAAGATGAAGGCCAGAGATTGAACCCAACTTTTTGTTCCTGAGTCAAGTATATTGAACACTTCCAAGAAATGGTCACAATGTAACTCCTTGCTACTCCACATGGGATCTTTATCAAGTTAAGATATGCAGTTTTTAATGGTAAGGATAATTATCCCAGAAAAAGCTAAATTTAATGTTTTTTTCTTCTATAAAAAGGGATACGTATATATATATATATATACTGCGTGCTTTTAAATTTAATTTTGGGTCATGTGAATCCCTTTTAGAAACTACAGCTTGCAGAAAGAGAGAGACCTGGGCAAAGCCCTTAAAACACAATATTGGGGGTAGGCATGTGATCCAAAATGGAATGTCTTTTCAGATTGGCTTATACAATCAAAGAATTAATTAGTTCACCAAAACAGAGACTTTTGGTAGCTAACTTAAGAGGTTTGCTAAAAAGCACACTCAATATCCTCATCTTTCATATAGTTCAATATGTTAATACATGTAAGAGATAAGAGAGAGAGAGAGAGAGTTGAAAAAACAAAAAAAGCAGAGAAGACCATACAGGGACTTGATGCCCTTAAACATGCACTAACAAAAAAGTCATGCGCTTTTAATTATGTACTCAAGAAACCTTGCCTTTTGTTTTGATGCCTATCCAGTTGAGATAACGACCCAGTTTTTTGGCCATATATGTTTTGCCCCTTGCTGGTAAACCAACCAACGTGATAACCGTTGGTGCATTGACAAAACGTGGATTATATCCAGGATAGCAAGTATCTAAAAATTAAAAAGGAAAATGGTAAAATGTCAGGTCAAATTAGCACTAAATTTTTAACTTGCCTGGTATTGCTTTTTTAAAAATGGAAATGTACCATACACCTACATCTTACTGTGTGTAAGTTGGACACCATAAAGACTTTCTAAAGCCGACTCTCCTATTCCCTCCAGTGTAGGGCTGACACTCACAAAGTCAGTTTTAGAAAAGGTGACCACTTTATACTATCAGCTCAGGTGTAAAACTAACTTATCTTATATCTGCATTATGCTTACTAAAAGTTACTTTTCATCTATATGTAATAACAACTCACAGTTGTCATCACAGTATTAACTTTATCTATTTTTGCTATTTACTACGAGGGTATTTTGTGACCATACATCTACAGTGTAGAATACTGGTTTCATTTGCATTTTCCACTGTGTCAGATAATTACTTTAGATTCTTCAACAAGGAAAAACATAAAACTACATTAGTCAACCTGGATGTAAATCTTTTCAACCTGAATTCTTCTTTAACCTACAGCATATAGCAAAAATGTGAACATAAATGTTGTTTCTCGACTTTTCATCATATGACTGCACAAGGAACTCCTGGGATTTTATTTTCCAAGACAGCTTCTTTCTCTCACTTAGTGGAATAACAAACCAGTTGTTCCACATTCATTTATGGTAATTGTAGACTCTAACCATTCCTGAAGCTAGCATTTGACTTGAATTGATAAAATGCCGACTCCAGTTACACAAAAATTAATCCCTACTAGTGAGAATTACTTGATTTTCATGCATTTTATGAAAATGTGCATAAGATAATTGAAATAACCCACAAGTTAGTAAGTTTGTGATGAATATTTCTCAAAAGTTCAAACAGGCATTCTTTGAATATCTAAATGACAATTACAGCCATAAGATGTATTTATAACAAAACCTGGATTCTTGTAAACAACATCTTCATTGCGAGTCTCCATTACCAATTCCTGAGTTCTTCAGATGGAAATTTTTACTTGCTCTACAGAAAATACAATTGTGTAGCAGGCTGCCTGATGCAACAAGTTTTAAAGATTACTATTATCATGCAAATCCTAATATTTTGATTCATCAATATTCCTCCTTGTGGTTTTCAATTTGAAGTTTGTTGTTGCATATGCAATCATAAATTCTATCAGTACCCCAAAAATTCCATGGCAACAAAACCCCTAAATCCTAAAGATTAACAAAGTGTTATGAGTTTCACTAAGCACCAAGAAGCAAGTTAAAACTATTTATTATCTGAGAAGCACCTATTGGAAAGAATTCTCAGACTGGTTAGTCATGCTCTAATAGCTTTGACAATAACCAGGATAATGAAAAAAGCCATTCAAGAAACATCCCACAGAAAGGTGATGATGCATGAAGTTGACCAATATTTATCTTCAATAATTAAATATTCCAAGAGATTTCAGAATTTGCGTGGATATCATCAGCTGGATTTTGTAAAAAGGACTGAAATGTTACAGTGTTTAAAAGACAGCTCACAACTTACAAAATGTAAAAAGGTCAGCATAGCTGTATTGACATATAAATTAGTTACATATGGTAAGTTGTATTACTCTTTGTAGTACTTTGAATGAAAACTGTATGTTAAAAACATTATGAAGAAGTTTAAATAGACTTGGACAGCCAGAAAATGACACCTAAGTCTGTATAACAGCATTCAAATTCTTTAAACTTGTTACATTAAAATTTCACGAGAGAACCTAAGGTGGCAAGAAGAGAGAATCACAATTCAGATTGTGGAAGTCAACAGTTGAAGCTGTATCAAAGGTATAGTCAAAATAATACAACAAAAAAATTTTCACAAAATATTTTTCAGCATGCACAGAGGTGAAACTGGTTTTAGGGGTTCCAAGAAATATTCATCAATGTCCACAAACAAAGTAAAGCCTTAAAACATTCCACACTATCTTCAATTTAGCTGAACCTTTTATCTAAAATAATAGTTATTATCAAAAGCTACCTGTGGAAGGATACAGAATCCCTAACACCTACTCCTTGTATAGAACCGTGGTTTGTGTTAGACCTCTTTCAATAGCCAGCCTTATATTTTCCAACTAACAGTACAAGGGGTTTCTACTTTGACATATGGGTACAAATCTAAGAATTAATTTGTGAATTTTTATTTGGTTAAAGTTATCCCTTCCCTACTTCCCTTTAATTGTCATCTGACTGACCCAATTTTTTAACTGAAAGGTGTTGACTTAATCAAACATTTTTTTTCATCTCTTATCTGAAAATACCTATGATGGTCTAAAAAATACACAGTCCTGTAATACATAAACAATAACCTCTATTTGGCATGCAAATATACACTAAATTGGTTTGCAGACATTACCTGTTCTATGCTGCATGAAATGTTTTCCTTTGAGTTTTCTTTATGAACAAAAAAATATTTCCCTTCTTCTATAACAACCATTAAACATTCTCTCATCTTGAATTAATTTTAAAAAAAAAGTTATTGTACTAGATTTAAGGTTTGAAAATTGGAGAATATCACTCAGGTGACATTCTTGAATATCCCCCAGTGTGAACTCTGGAATAATCAATCACGTGATGTGTTTAAGCCCAATTGCATGCAAGCAAAAATGCTGTTATTTTGCAAGTTGTGTTGTAGTATTTTTCAGGGGAATAAGGAAAATTTAGCCACGAAACAAAATGTCCACCCGTAGTATATACAAACCCTTAGAACAAGGGATATTTTATTCTACTGCTATTTCATTTTCTAGTATTTTAATTATTAGTTTGATAAATAATTCTGAAAACATTATCTCAGCATCTTCTAGATTGCAGAGGGGGTGCAAGGAAGATGAAACCAAAACAAAAAAACTAATGATAATAAGTGTTGTTTTTGACCTTAAATGTTGTTTGTGACCTACAAAAAAAATCTGTTGGGCTTAAAGGTAATTGTTTTTAAATAAGTCGAGCCTGAAAAACCAAAGCAAACTATCAAAGTTTGGATTATTCAGCCAGATGACTTTTTGGCCCCTCTTTCTGTTCATATTTTTTCCCTGTTCTACAGTGTAATACTGTGGCATATTTGGCTGGTTTCATAGCCCTAATATCATAATGGTAAAATTAGTGGTATAATTAAGTTAAAAATTGGAGTATCAAATACAGATTAACTAAAAGTATTTCTTATCAATGAAAACAAGTCTCTATCATCACAAGTACCTGAAGTACCCAAAAACTCAGCAAATGACACTATTCGTGATTTGGTCCTTATAAAGGAGTGCCAAATAGAAGCAGTTCTCTGATAACTAAAATATTAGTCCTCGCTTCACCTCCTTCCAAAAAAATGTGATGGAAGTTTCACAACACCATCACAGTCCAAAGATGTGCCATGATCAAAGTTGTAATTTCCTATCTAAAGATGTTTTTAATCATGCCATGAGCATAGGATAAAGACAAAATTCTGATTCACTAGGAGGAATCGTGCTTCAGACCTACAGATTCCCCACCTGGAGCTGTACCACAAAGCCACAGACACTCCAGAAACAGTAAGCCAGGCCAATATCAGATTGTTCATCTGACTGGCATCCTGCATACTGCTGGGAATTCAGAGAATGTTGCAAGCATCATAATTGCCATTTCTAAAGTGCACGTTTATCTATAACATCTGTCATATATAAATACCATTATCTTTTTCCGATTCGAAGCTCAAAAATCACCTTCTCTCTATCTATACTAAACTGAAAAAATGTACATGTACTGAATAAAGAAACTGTGGTGCTGCATCAGTGGGGATAATGCAAGATGATCTGGTTTTAACGACTCAGTTGATTATGTAACTTGGCCACAATAAAGAGTTTCTACTAGGGTGACATTTCGAGTGTTAAAGAGCTAAGTAAATGCTAAAATCCCCCTTCAGCCCTGTAACAATATTGACATGGCATCCCTCCCAAGTACAGCCTCCTCCTCCCCCAAATTTCATTCTGATTGACCCATTAAAAGATTATGTAATGCCACTGACATTAGGCAAAGAAGGAGATTAAAGTGGATGACCGAAAAATAGCAGAAGTTTCCTTAGCTTATGTAAGCAACAACCACAACAAGAACATTACAGGGATGCGAGACCCCAGACGACAATTTATCTGAACTAATAACGCTTGGCTACAAAAAATCAAAAGTTTACTGTTTGCTCGGCCGGATATTTTTGGTAAGCGCTTGATGTGGCGTGGTAAGCTTATTGTAAGCTGTAGTTGTTGCAACATTTTACTGTTTGGAGGTAAAGCTTCCACGCCCGATACACTTCATGTTGAGTGCTCAGATGTATGTAAAAAAAAAAGGCTTTTACAGTATAATGGTTGCTTTTAAATCAGACAATCTAAATCTCAATTGCGTTGTCTGAATCGCCAGTCATGCGTTTGTTGAGCAAAAGTACACGTGAATATTGAATTAAAACTTACCAACTCTATATTTGTAGTCAACCGGGTGAATAACACCACTTTTTTCTCTTAAAACGAAAACCCCTTTGTGGTCCTGCCCTTTTTCTTCTTCTTCTTCGGTCCCCAATTCTATCGTATTTTTACCAGAGGAACCAGTATCGTCCATAGAATGAAGTGAAAATGGAGGCGCCATTTCCTCAAGTTCGGCCGCCATCTTTGTCACGCCGGTAAATTTCTTGTTTTGAGCCACGTGATCATGAAAGCCCGCTAAGAGTAACTTTTTTATCATTATTGTTATTATTGTTAGTAGTAGTAGTACTACTACTACTATTAAAACAAAGGTATGACATTTTTTCTAATTAGTTTGTAACTTAATAATTTTCATAAAAAATTATTCATTGTTTTTTAGAATTTTAGACATGAAAGTTATTATCAGTTATTAACGAGACAGTTTTCTATAGAACATATTCAAATCAAAAGGGAATAAATGCCACTATTATATTTAAATTTGAACAAAATTTTTTACTATTAGTATTTTAATAACAGCAATAATAGTAATAATAGGGGGGATTACATTAAGATTTCATTGTATGAGGTACGCGTGCAATTTTCATTGCACTCGTACCTTGTGCACAAGTGAAAATTGCATGCATTCCTAAACCCAACCTCTGTCATTGATTCCCTTTCCAGCCTCTCCAGAATATAACTTCATGCCTCTCTAAAAATAGAGTTCATCAAATACAAGAAGAACGGACTAATGTCACATTTATTAAGCCACCAGTGTTTCATTATACAGAATAAAATTATTGAACAACCAATCACAAATGTATCACTAGATTTTCATTAAGCTCTATCATGTACAACTGGTTTTATACACATTCTCATGCATACATGAATATGCCTTAGGTGCATTTTTTCTACATCTTGTGTGGATGTGGTTGGGTGCCCCCCCCCCCCCCTTCTTGTATATTAGTATACCGGTATGTGCCCTGAAGGCTGCGGCTTTTGAACTGTTAAGTAATTTACTGTTTCAAATCCAGGAAACTGTACAGATTTGACCATTGCAATCTAAACACAGGTATGGTTTTCTAGCAAACCTTGAGAGTGTAAACAACTCCAAATCAACAATTGAGAAAAAAAATTAAAACACAAAAGTACATGCATGGCCTCTCTAATTAGATAAGGGTACCAGGTTAATTCTGAACAAAATCAATATGAAACACCCTAATCATCTGCCCTTCTGTTCCTTGCAAGCTTTTAAAACCATCTTCTAAATTTGTCACCAAACCAAGTTGTTTGTTTCATCTTTATAGATATTGGGTATCAAACCTGATGGAGAAAATATCACCATATTATTAAGGTTGAAATAATTCATAACGTAATAATTCCTTCAACAGAAACTTGTTTGAAATTGACGAGTAGAACTTACTTATGCAGCAACAAAGTATTTAGGTTTGTTTATAGGATCCTTTGGAGTTTACAGACTCAAGAACACCCAAAATTTAAGATTAACATTTTACCTCCCAGCAATAATTAGCAAGTAACTTCCCCTAAAGTATTTAAACATTATCCAGCAAATAGGTAATGAGAATACCCAAATTTATCAGGTGGAAGTTTTTATCTTGATCTAACACCACATTCTCGTACCTAATTTACAAGGAAATGTGTAGCAGCTAGAGAGGAGAATTGACAATCATGTCTTGGGATATAATGGGTAATATTATCACGTTTTTTCTAGTTTCTTGGTTAGTTGTAACATTTGTTGAGCTTCTACCATCATTTTGTAAATTTTTCACTTATACTTGAAAAATTAAATCTGCTAAATTGTCAGTGTTTATAAAGGAAGTGCTACAAAGTAACTAATAGATAGGCAAAGCTGCTGTGACTGTTGTAATAGTTAGAAAAAATGTCAACCAAATTTGTCACTAACAGTATGTGCATACATAGGGTTAAACTATACAAAGTGAACTGTGAGGTAATTATTAAAAACAACTGAAGTCAGACAGAGTCAGAGCTTCAAATGGAAGCCAGTCATTCAAAGAAAATTAATTCATTAGTAATCACTTCCCAATCATGTTTTAATTAATTTTATTCATATGCTAAAGAGAAAAAAGAAAGATGTTTTCATCTTGTAAATTAATGAAGATTAATTTAATGAAAAAATGAAGTGTGTTAGTAGCAGATGAGTGAAAATACAAGCCGGGGTAGTTTTGGGTTGGGTTGCACAAAGAATGTCTGTAAAATCTTTTTAAAGGTCGTTCCAGTATACCAGAATCTGGCAAACCCTTTGACTAGCAACTTTTGACAGAGGCTGTCATGAGGTCAATGGGAAAAGCTATTGGAGGAAATATGTGTGATCAATTATCAAGTCACCCCTGTCACCTAGAGTTCCAAATAGCTGTAAAAAACATGTGTAGATTAGCCTTATGGTATAAATCTAGTATAAACTATACACACCAAATTTGGATTCCACCATACTGATAGAGTTCTTCTGAAACAGCTTCTTCTCATACTCAACTAGATATTTCCAGAATCCAGCATTTGGTCTGACAAGAGGTCTCTTTTGCTTGACATATGCATGAGCATCAATCAGCTTCATCTTTTGATATTTCATCAAGTAAGCCAAGACCAAAGTTGCTGATCTGTAAAATACATGCTTGTTTATGAACTAGAAAATATTGTTTAATATGGTTTACCATCTTATGTACTAACAATAACGAGGATAAAGAAATGTTGGCTACTACTAGATAATGTGCATACCACACCCTTTCACCTGGCTACATGTAATCTATTGCATATCTGAAGTAACCTCATTAATGATACAAATTTATGATAATAATAATAATGATAATTAATAAAAATAATAACAATAATAATAATTATAATAATACTGTATCATTCAGCATGGATTAGGTTGCCTTTCCTTCCCATACATGTACATTGATCTTTTGTTATTTATTTATTTATTTTTTAATACATTTTTTGGGCTCAAGATGGGGTAAGAAGTCTCTTATGACCAATCATGCAACAGCTGAAGATAATTTATGTCATCAACTGAGTTGTATATGTGAATTGGCCTCAGTAAAGAGTTTCAAGGCTGACACTTTGGAGCGTTAGACCTTTGTCAGAGCGAAACAATGTTTGCTCTCACCTGCCTTAAAACTTAAGCCTTCGAGATTCCAAATGATACTTGAAAAAGAAATTCACCTGCTTACTCCTGCAATGCAGTGGACGAGTACCTTTCCTCCTTCTCGTTGAACCTTTTCTACAACATGAGAAAAGTTGAAGAACATAAACTTACTGTCAACAAACCTTTTCCAGCTATAAAAAACATGTCGGGCAAAAGGAACATGTACAATCTTTTTTTTTTAAAAAAATAACTTTTTTTATAAACACACACAGGCTGAGATTCAGTTAACCCTTTAACTCCCAGAAGTGATTAAAATGAAACTTCTTCCTGTAATATTCATATATTATTCAGCAAAAAGGTAATGAGAATATTCAAACTTATCAGATAGAAGCTGCTATCTTGATCAAGCACCAAGTTTTCACAACTAATTTACAAGGAAATGTGTAGCAGCTACAGTGGAGAATTAACAATCAGATCTTGGGAATTAAAGGGTTAAGAATGTATTTATTTGCCCATTCTCTTTTTTTTTTTTGCGAGAAGTATACATAAATGTAAACGAAACGTAAATCTGTGATCTAACAGGACCATTAACTCAAATACTTAGGGACATTTTGCTCTATATTAATTAACAATGTTGTTTTCTTATTGCACGGTACATTGAAGAACAACTCCGTCGATTTATTGAAATACGTTATGTACCACACAACTTTAAGAACAGGTTGAGAACGTTTTCTCGCTCAAGTCGCCAAGATAAAAAAAAAGAAGAAGAAGACGAAGAACGTGCAGTCTAAGCCCCAAATTAGACGTTCTGATAAAAGAGTGTACATCACAACTTAGAGCGAGAGGACAGGCATGGAATAAAACTTGATTTAACTCACCAATTTTATCGGCCACTAGATCAAAATATATTCCGATGTTACAGGTCGGGTTATCTTCTAGCTTTATCCTTATGCAAGTTATCGATTCATACGCCAATTCAGGCGATTCCAGTGCAGCTTAAAATAATGGATAATAGAAGACATGATATAAGTAAACATGTGCAGGATCAGTTAAGTTGTGGGCCATATCCAGCGCAAGGTGCAATACCCTCATGAAATAAATCCGGTATTAAGCTCGAATAAATTCGTATTTGGTCCATTCCTACCGCTGATGACGCATGTTATTCCATTTTCCTTGAGCAAATCTTCCATTTTCGCCGCAGCTAGCCCTCCAAGGTAAAGATAGTTTTTGATTTTCGCCATCTTGCCCAGAGGGCTACAATGCTTTCCAGCCGACATTACGCCAGATCCCTCAATTACACAATAAGAGTAATCTATGACATTCAGATGCGCATATTTGGCCGAGAAATTTCAACAGGCGGATAGAAGATTTCAAACCTTGGCGGAAGTCTTCATATTTTGGAAAACAAACAAAGCAGTAATAATCAGAGCAGAAACTGGGACTTGTTAGTCACGTGACTTGTGGAAGACCGTTGCCGAGAACCTTAATCAGGAAAATTTTCGTTTCACATCGACGCACTAACTAGGAAGAGACTGAACAAGATCTCCAGCATCTTTTCGAAGAGATTATCAGAAAAAAAAGCAAGAAAACAAGTACTTCACAAAAATTTATTGAAGACAAAGGCAAAAATTTGAAAATTCATACTAACACCAAATTTGCAATACGGACTACCTGGGGTTCATGTGGTGTGATTGTCCAACTGAATGTAGTTATAGCTTGATTTTCGTTTATATCCTACCCTTCTGTGAAAGATATACTTGATCACGGGTCACGAGAAACCTTGCAAACTGCCCAATTACTGCTAGGACTTAGCCTTATTTGTGTAGGGTGCAGAAATGGCTGTACTGGTATTCTTCTCACCTGTGTTAGGCTCTTAGTCAATGGAGAAAAGCAAGAAAGCGACGATGAAAAACAGCATTTGTTAGGGAAATAGCTGCATATGCCATTTTTAATATTCCTATGTTCATCTCCACTGACCAAGGGTATGAACAGGTTACCGTTCTTCCGAGATGGAATCCCGGTACTTAAACTGTTTAGCTCCTAGAAGAGATCAACACTGAACTCCTACCTATGTTGTCCACTATTATCCAGCTAACATGTAATGAGAACATTCAAACTTACCAGGTAGAGGTTATCTAACTCTCACAGTACATTCTTGTCACTAATTTACATGGAAACGTGTGTGGCAGAATGGGAGAATTATTAGTCAGATCTTTGGGTTTAACCCTTTACACCCTAACATCAGTATGCATATTCTCCATACTGTTCTTTATACATTTCCTAAGGTCCTGTCAAGGAGAATTAGCTTAACGATTCAGAGCTTCTGTAGTTGTTAATCATTTTCATTTTTCTCATGACTCTAATTTGTGATTTAGGGGTGATATTGTAAGGAGAAATTAGATGCTGGTCACTCTTAGGGGTTAGGGGTTAAGAGGTGATGGTCTCTAGCAATTTGCAAAGTTTCCTGAACAGTTTTCTAAAATGCATTTATAAAACAAGCATAGAGAAGCACTGCAAAACACAGTGACTGGCACAAGATTACAACAAAGGGACTCACCCACAATTCAAAACTGGTGGACTTCTTGATCACCAGTCCAGTACATTACCCCAAAAAACCAACATGTCTCACATTCTTTGTTAGTAAAAAAAACAGCCAAATACATCCAAACAATGTCTTTATTTCTACACAAGTTGGTACAGTTCTCCATGCCTAAGTATCTACTCATTCTCTTCACTGCGCAGTCTTGCATTGGCATTTGTTATTTTAATGGCCAGCTGTTGTGCACGCTCCACTATTTCTTTCCTCTTCTTACTGGACACATTGTGTGCAATCTCTGCTGCATAGCTCTTATTGGCCATCAGGAGGACTTCTAGTTCCTGATGAAATGGAAACAATAAATATAAATAAACAAAACATAAGAAAACAAAATAAAAGGGATGGCAGAGAAAGTCTAAGATGACTGCTGTTAGCTAATAACTAATGAAGAACAAAGGAAAACAAATCTGAGTCCCACCATGAAGAGAAGACCCAAATCTTAACATTTTTTTACAGTGTGATCCTCAACCACTGAGCTACTCTGTGTATACTGGTCAATGAGAAGTTAGCTGGGTTTAAGTGCAACAAGCATCCTGTATTCAATGATTACATCTTGATAAACTAAATAAATGTGACCCTCCATGGGAAAATGGACACTAATGCTTTTCCGTTAAACAGTCTAGAAAAACGGTTGTAAACGGATAGTAAACAGCTAACTCGAGCGTTTAAACAATTTAGTGTCCGTTTAGCATTAGTGTCCGTTTTCCCATGGAGGATCACAAATGTATTTTCAGAGTAGGAGCTGATTACATTAGTTTGAATAGTGCTTTAAGGTGTTGATCGGGGAAATATTTCGGGTATTTTTTTTTAACATTTCCAATTTTAGCTTACAAAAACTAGGAACAGTTTGACTAGGGTTGCACTTGTTAATGAATTAAATCCACTTCAACCAGCCCAAAAATTCATGTAATCAGCCCTCTACTCACCAACAAAAAATGTAGATTAGAAATGATTATTGTAAGTAGTGTTGCAATGTGGATTGAGAACCAAGAACACTGGACATTAAGAAAGAGGTCCTCTCCTGTCTCACCCATTAACATTGCCTCTCTCTCCTTCCTTTGACAACCATCACTGTCCTAACTACTCCAGTGATCACAACAGATCAATGGCTGGGCCATGAAATCTGAAGTAATCATGGTTTTAGTTCCAAGTGAGGTGCTTTTTAAAAGAAGGGCTTTTGTATATACTCATAGCTTGGTGTAAAACTGATGTCACAGCCATAACAGTTTAATCGAATCCTTGTTTCTAGAAAATTTTGGGTAACTGGTTTGTGATAGAAATTAGGTAGCAAAATTTCATGCCTCCATGCTAAAATCTG